TCGGTATGGCTCTAGTTTCCGTGCTCTCCTACCTACGAGACCTGACAGAACGACAAAACATCAGATGGTTCGCGCACCTGTCAGTAGGAAGCACATATGCAAAGAACAGCGACTTCTCATTAAAGATCTAGCATTACTATAATTAGCGTAACAGTCAAATGACAGATAGAGCATGGTAGAATCTACAAGAAGACACTAAAACAACACTCGTAGCATTCTATTCTGGTTCGCATGTACACCATTTTCCAACATTTTGAAATACACTCGTTTATTTTGTGCCACTTTAATCCTAAAATACATTGGTGACCAATAGCTACATCTCCAATAGCGCTCTGAGACCAACATATCTAAACTATGTAAAAAAAACCTTCCGTGATATAACCCACCAGACCTATAGTGCTCCCCTCGATGTCAAAAGAAACGGCAATTCTCCCCTCGCCATGGTATTCTCAGTCTAGGGAACCATACCGCGCTTTAGCCTAAGTAATGCTGATATTACAAGAAAAGAAAAAAGAGATATGGAAGTGACGATAACTGTGATGAGTGAGAAAAATGGTAGTACAAAAGATTGCCAAGATACCTGAGACAATATGATCATGCAGAAGCCAATAGAAAGAAACGAAATACCATGGGGTCCCCCGAACATGGAAGTGGAGATGAAAGAGTACTAAGCACCGACCTATTGCGAAAGCCTGTTCCCAATGAGTGTACTGAAACTCTTGCCTGGCGGTCGTGGATCCTTGCCAGAGCCAAGATAGAATTCGCATTGGAACTTGAGGCACTCAGTTCCGCGCGAGTCGTGATAGACCTGCACAATATCGCCAGTGTGCAAATGACCAAACAACGCACGCTTCTTTTCATCTTGCTGTTTGAGATGTTTACCATTGATGGAGATGCCATGCGTAGCGCATGTCCAAATGCCGACATGCAGGTCCTGCAAACTAGTCCAGTCTTTGCCTTGCTGAGAGAGATCGTCAACAGTCCCCTGGGACTGACCACTGGGCGAATAGAAAAAGATGATGAATGCTGTCTTCGGGACACGCGTGTCGCGGCTGTGCTCGTATACAATAGTATTGTTTGCGAGACGGCCCCATGAAGTCTTACTTTGGGTGATGTTGAGCGTGAGGTTGGGAGCAAATGAATCTGGTGTCGCAACAAGCTTGCCCAATCGCCTTGGAGGTGGGCGGAAATCTAGCTCAGCAGGGACAGACGGTATCTCAGCAGCAGGAGAAGGAGCTGCTGCAGCACTTGACGCTGCTGATGTTTCGCTTGTTCGTGAGACCCCTACTGTGTCTGGGTATGCAGATGTCTCACTCGTGGCATCCTGGTTGATGGATGAAAAGTCATGCCCGCTTATCTTAGACGCGTATTCCAAATTGTGTGTGTTTGGATCCCTTGGGTCGTAGTAGTAGGATGCAGTAACCGGTAGCTCAATCAGACGGTTCATCCCGGATGGCCGTGCTCTTGGAGTCGGCTCACTTATTTGGCTGAATTCTTTCGACGACTGGTCCAGGGAGCTGTGCTGAACAACTTCTGGGGTTTTGGGTGTTGCCGGCATGGCAGGACTTTGCGCTCGGGAGACAGGAGAATAGGGCGATGTCATGTTGAGATCTCTCACGAGAGATTCGGTGCCCAATAGACTAGAAGACGACACACCATGATCTAGACGTGCGGGTGCGGTGAAAGGCCCTTCATAGTCTGAGCCATCTTCAGTGTGGCTCGACTCTGCAGCGCCGTCATTCTGCGCAAGCTGGATAGATTCCTCGCGTAATAGAGCATCGTTGGCGTGCGCACTTAGTACTCCTGAGCTTTCCAGGGCAGACTGTCCAATTTCACCAAAGAGAGGCCGCCTGGGTGTCGGCATAACCTGAAAGCTCTCACCCTCAGGGACTAGATGAGACGAAGCAAAAGAAGGCTCCATACTAGATTCATCGCGATCCCTGATCTGATGGCGGGGGTATAAAGGGTCGGCACGGACTCGCTTTGGCTGTCGCTCTGTAACAAAACCCATGAGTTCTTCGTCAGAGAGAACATCAGATTCGTCTTCCGACTCTGGAATCTCTTCTTCTTGAAGACGGAGTTGCGATAATTGTTGCTCAGCTTCTTCGTCCTGTTCCTCTTCCTCCTCTTCGATGATGGACTGCAAAACGGGATCAGCAGGGATTATCGCGCCGTCCTTGAGCCATGGGTGATTCAGGCAGTCACGATCGGTCGGCCGTTCGGCCGGATCTGTTCGAAGCATTTGCGTTAAGAGATCGATGCAGGCTGCAGAAACACCTGCTTTGCGGAGTGGCGTTGGATCGAGTGGAGTGCCCATGATGTTATTGTACATGGCCTCACCGGTGGCGTCGGCAATGCCCCTAAATGGAGGTTCACCGCAAAGTGCATACCAGAGGACACCTCCAAAGGACCATATGTCGACCGAGGAACTATAGGAATGGTACACCTTGGCTCCACGCCGGCGCTTGGTGCCCTTTGACTGGCCATTGAAATCAGGGAAAACCTCTGGAGCGCAGTACAACAAAGTACCGCAAAAGGTCTTGAGAAAGGTCTCCTCGTGCTTGACGACTTTTGACAAGCCAAAGTCCGAAAGCTTGACGGTGAAAGGATCAAGATCGGCGATGAGAATGTTATCAGGCTTGATATCACGGTGAGTGATCTTAGCTCGGTGCAGATAGCTCAGGGCATTCAGAATCTGTTGAGCCATGCTCCTGGCAGTCTCTTCCTTCATGGTGCCGTACTGGTTGAGGTAACCTTGTAGGTCGCCTTGTCGTACATACTCCATGATGATGTATAAATAATCGCCTTGGTCGTAGTGTTCGACAAACTCTACAATATTAGGGTGCCGAAGATGTTGCATAATCTTCATTTCGTTGTCGATCTTCTTATCAAGCATGCCGTTCTTCATGAACCGCCGCTTCTCGAGTTCTTTTGCGGCTAGCAGTTTGCCAGTCATCTTCACCGCGAGCTGATAGACGGTAGCAAAAGCACCTTTGCCAATTTGGCCTGCCACAGATTAGTATAGGTCAAACTTGGGAAACCGATGGCACACACCGATTATGTTGTAATATTGCCCGCCATCCCATTTCATGGAAGGCCCACCATACTGCTTCGCCACTCGCTGCACAACTTTGCTCTTTTCCTCACCAAAATCGGGCGTACACTCGGTAATGAAGTTGCGAAGGTTTTCCCGGAAGCGCTCCAGATGGGACACTCGTGAAGGAATGCGAACAATGAACTTAATCATCTCCGCATCGTTGGAGTTTTGTATACAGATGATGGAACCGGAGCTTAGCATTCGGATCTTGCTAAAGCGTGCGTCTTTGCACTTGAGAAGGGCTTCATCAACAATAGTGCCGTTTGTGGACATGTCTTCGAGCATAAGCAGACCGTCCATGTTAATATAGATTCGGAAGTGCTGGTTGCTGATCCTCTTTCCCGAATCCTGGCCAAAGATGATGTCGGCGCTCTGATGGTTGCGCCCAAATATGAAGCCAAGCTGCTTGAACTTCAATTTGTTTGCGGACGAGAGGCGAAGGGCAAGGTCGGCCCCGGCACGAGAACTGCGTCCATTTTGGTCTGGATGAGGGTTTATTATGAAAGTCTCTTGCTCCTCAGCATCACTGATTGATTCGCCCATGGAGTCGACAGAATTCCGAAACAGTACATGCTCGGGCCTATGCTGTGCCGCATGCTCGACAATCTTAATGGCAGTCGGTGTAGCTGGATGAAGAATGACAAGGACATCCGAGATGTCACAGTCATTTAAGCCTGAGTTGTTCCTACCTAAGCGACGAGGGTCCAGCACTTGCTGTGTGGAAGGTTGAGTGGGCTGGGAAGGCTCGTTCTCCATTGTGGCTCAGAATAATGTCCGTGGAGCAAACCGAGGGGTTGAGAGGGCAATTTATGTATCTGTGGAGGGTAGATAGCGCGTTGCGGGGTATCGCGCAATGGGGGTCTAGCGGGGACTGTCGCTTGCGCTGAAAGCAAAGCAGGCGATCACTTGGGCAACGTAGGCACGATATGGGGCCGTGCACGCGGAGGGTGAATGAAGCAGACGGAAAGCGACCTGGGGTCACAACGCAGGACGGCTTGGATCTAGCCCTCAAAATTGCGCGATATTTCTTTACGTGCTCCAAGTCAATGGGACGTAGCAGTGAGTCATGAGAATCAAGCTGCGACAAGTCCCCTCCTTGACGTTTCTTTTGCGTACTCTTCCACAGCCAGTCGTTCTATAGTGCACCAGGCAGAGATTTTGCTTGGGCCAGCGCTCTTTCAAGTGGAATTCAAATGTATGCCTCTGAGTACTGTCGGCGCGGATATCTCATTCGCGTCCTGGAATCGATGCGATGCCGAAGAGCGAAGTGGAGTAGGTACTGACAGGCTGAGTATTGGTAGGCAGCAGCCAAACAGCAAAAGCAGGGACGGCAGATACGGTTCGCATATGTCGGCACGGTGAGGCGGACGTTTGCCTTCCGGGACAAGGCAAGGAGTGGGAAGATTGGAATGGGATAGGGTGGGGTGGAATGCGGCGTAAGGGTGCCCTGGGAGACAGGCTCTATGACAGAGGGTCAGCGTGAAAGTGTCTCACAGACTAGTCCTTGGCGCGACTGCAATTGAGGTCGGTACACACCTTGCTAGCAACAAAACCAAAGCAGACGAAGACTCGACACGTCAAAAGAGAATGAAAGTAACTTTGGACCTGTCGCGCGGCTTGTGAGACTTTGGGAGCGGCCCGCGCGCGTCCCGTCATTGGCTGGCTTCTTGGAAAAGTGGGTCGCCCCCTGCGCAAGGCAGCAATCGGCCGTCTGATTTCGCCTCATAGGTCAAGTCACGTGTTTTCGCGTCACCGCGTAAAGAGCCACTCACGCGTTGATTGACGTCATCTGGCTGCTCACCATGCAATCCCCTTCTCCATGACATTTCAGGCCATATGTATCTTGAGTACGACAGCCTAGTGTTACCTACAAATCGTCTCAGCTCAGTCACTTGACAGCAATTCATACAATCACAATGTCGACCCATTCTCGTGAGCCGACCTTTGCATCTCCATCCATCCACCCATCCAAATAACAGTCGCCAATGATCTCGTACATAGGCCTACACACGGTCCCATCTTTCGGTTTCGCCCCATCCCCATTCCCATCAATCACATCATAGCCCAGTGGACGTAAGACGAATGGTGTCTTTCCTCCAGGCAGAAGAAACAGTTCGTCTCCAACAGCCATGTCCGCTGGGCCCAGCCCAACCAGCCCATTACCGCAGAGCAGCCGTCGCGATAATGTCGCTATGTTTACCGACCGCTCTATACTTGGAATTCGACTCTTTTCTCTCTCCATATACAGATCTATATCAGGCCCGTAATGGCGCTCGAGTGCGGGAAGCAAATTTAGGTATATTATTCTCCAGTCACTATCTTTCCCGGTAAGCCACGTACCAAGTAGGAAATCCGGCAGGATGGTGTAAATCATATCAAGCAGTACATGGAATGTATCCTGGCGATCCTCCAAGTGCATGGGAACATAGGAACTGTCCGGTTCACCTGGCATGCCTTTGTCCGGCACTGTCGGCCATATGAAGAGGAAAAGATTCCACAAGTCCGCTTTCCTAGACCAAACCCTAGCTTGCTGTCTATTTTCTGCACTGCTGAAAGGTGACATGTTCGAGTGTCTCATCCATGTTTCAAAAGTGGACATGTCTTCAGCGAGTACTCTCCGTATGCCCCCCATTGTTGCATGTTCGTGGATTACATCGGCGCATATGGTTCTCCAAAAATTGAACAGGGCAACTCTCTGCCATGGCTGCATACTCTCAGTCTGCAGCGAAAGCCTCTCATCCCAGAACGGTATCGCGTATCGTAGCCCTATTTGACACCACTGTAGGAGCGTGTGCCGGCTGCTAGCAGGGTCGTCCCCCCACATGATCTCGCCCACCTCTTCCACGCGCATAATTTTCAGACCTTGTAGGCCTAGTTTGGTATCTCCTATTGGTACTATTGAAGTTGGTGTAGCCTCTTTCCCGCATGCGTTGTAGTATTTTATCGCTTTCGCTCTTAAGTGATATGTATGGCTTCCCGGCGCACCCCAATCCGGAACCCACGATGGCAAGTCACTCCTGAACTTTCTTCCCAGTTCCGTACTAAACACTGAAAGCAATTTGGTCGAGTATATTGATTCCAGCGTTGCTTGGAGATAGACTTCTTTTTCGCTCAGCGAGTAATCTGGTGTCAAGGGTTTTCTACCAGGCACAACTTCCGCCATGCTAAGGAGAGCGAACACCTTGTCTTTGGGGTCAGATGACTTCCTGTCTCGGAATAGCCTTAACAAGTCCAACAGGCCTAAGTAAACCGTTTCCGGCTGATGTGTATGGTAACGCTGTCGGAGATCCTCTACCTTTGACATTGTCTCGAAACTGTTGTGCACGACAGTTTCCTCATCCCGAGGCAAGTTGTGCATAAACTTACGGCAGCATGAACTACTGTGAAGTCGGTACGTCTTTGCAGCCTTAGCGAACATGGTCCATGGCGCAGAAATTGTACCGTAGTGGATGACAACTTGGGGAGGAAGTGCCACCTCTTGTATCACCCATATTCTGGGCCACCAGGGCGTAAATGGAGCATGCATGAACATTCGCAGTGCCTCGAAAAAATCCGTACTGTCCTTATAGCTTCTGTGATTCTTGGAATTCATGCCTGCTTGTTTCTGCCCTCCATGAGCGGGCAAGATTTGATACAAGTGATTGGACTCACTTAACTTATAGAAGAACTCAAATACGTCGTATAATCCTGGCTTGTGACTTGACTTCAAGGTGCTTCGAGCAGGAACATACGCGCCATGTTGCCCAAAGTCTAGAATAGATGTTGGTTCAGTCAATGCTCCAACAGTGCTATCGAGGCTCTGCCCAAGGTATACGAGACATTCTTGGCAACTCGCATAAATGCACCTCATGAGTTGAACCTGACGAGTCCTTTCTTCGTCATTCGCCTGGTCAATGCATCTGACGAAAAGGCACAACAGGGTTAGACTTGAACTGTAGACATATGAGGATCAGCAGTACTCACAATGCATCAACCCAAAGGACTAAGCCTTCTTTGTACTTTGCTCGTAGGTGTCTCAGCGCACTCTCCAAATTCAAAGTTACGGGATAGCTACGACCATTGAGTCGGACGAAGCGCTGGTCAAACTGTGAGCCCCATACATAGGATAGTGCCCGGTATTGCACGACTTCGATCTTGGCATTAGATAGTTCGCAAACGATGGGGTCTGTCCACCTGCCAGGCTGCAGCCACAATACCCTGATCTCGCCTGCTCGAAGCGGATCACCAGGGTATCTCGGTTTTGTTGGCACTCTTAGTGCACTGGAAGGTGAGAGGAACATGCTTGTCTATCCAAATTGAACTATGATGGTACGAGATCTGCTGTGGGACAGGGCGTATAATTTGGGATGACGCTTGAGAGGCTGGCTGAACGGTGGGCATTGCGTATATGTACTGCTACTACCCCGCGCCACATCAGGCATACCATGAACCAATGGACAACAGACCCAGCCTCACCTTGCTAGGCGCGCCAATATAAGCAGATATGGTGCGTTCAAATGCGAATATCAGTGTATTCTACAACCGATGTGGGGGTCCAAATACACTACTATCAGATTAGTAGGATAAGTCGATGGAGAACCCTCACCCACTCAAGTTACCCAAGCGAAAGCCGCCAAAGACAACTCCCTAGGGACATTTACCATGTTTCTTTCCCAATAAGAGAGAGCGACATCGTCACAATCCATACATGAATGTGGGGGAAAGGTGGAAGCATAATTGAAACATGTGCGAACTACCCTTCTCTCATGGGTCTTACCCGATGCGGCATAGTCTGACGGAAGTGACATCTGGCTCCAACCAGACTACAAGAAGTCCGCAACCAGCTCCACGTAGTGTGCCCTCAATTGACTTGATGCCCCTCGGCGCTCCCGGCAACCACGACCATGAAAGGTATATGGGCGCTTCCGGCCGTGTTGCGCATCGCGCTCGCGAGTCAACATGCGTTCAGTGTCTTTGATGACTTGCTCGCTTTTCCCCAGGTATGACGCACTATCACCAACATCGTAGATCTACACGCTAACATGCCCCCCAGTATGAGGTTTTATGGCCGGACACGTTTATCACAGAGAATGAAGCGACATCTCTCCTTGCAAGCGGATCACCCAGCTCGAGCTCGGCGACACCGGGATCACAGGAAACACAAGAACTCTCTAAGCGCGATAAGCCGGCTGCGGATAAAACACCCATAGACGATGCGCTGGAACATACATACGAAGCAGTAGTATTACACGGGCAACGATACTTGTGCAGCATACCTATAATACCCGAAGAAGTCGCCCAGAACGACACAACCTCTGCGGAGGATGCAAAAGCAGAAGAAGAGAAGGAGCTTATACGCGCAACGGACCGTGGATGGGAACTGCTTGAGGGCATGCGAGACAATTGCATATACTATTTGAGCGGTTGGTGGAGCTACAGATTTTGCTACAAGGGTGAAGTCAAGCAATTCCATCAACTTCCACCGGGTCGCGGAGTTCCCATATACCCGCCAGTAGAAGATGAGAGCGTGCACAGCTTTGTGCTTGGAAGATTTCCCACAGAAGAGAAGAGCAAGAAAGCGAATGCACGCAAGACGCTCGGAAACGAGCAAGGCAGCAAGGAGGGCTTTGACGATGAGGATGATGAGGACGAGGGGGATGCCGAAACAAAGGGCTTGGAGTTGCCCAGGCTAGAGACAAAAGGCTCAAGCAGGTACATGGTTCAACGATTATCCGACGGTACCGAGTGCGATCTGACGGGCAAACCACGCAAAATCGATGTTCAGGTTTGTATTGCGAATCAGTTACTTTGTGTCTTACCATACTGATGCGACATTTAGTTCCATTGTAATCCGCAGTCCGCTGACCGTATTTCCATGGTCAAGGAAACCAGCACATGCTCGTACCTGATGATCGTCGACACACCCCGTCTTTGCCACGATGTTGCATTCACACCACCACAGGAGAAACTTGCTCACCCCATCATCTGCGAGCCCGTCATAGCAGAGTCGGAAGTGGAGTCCTGGACCGCCGTGCAAGAATCCACTAAGTTGGCTGCAGCTGAGCGGCTCATAGCCGCCCAAAAGGCTGCTGATGACGCCAATACAAACCCTCTCCGTGACATCACAACTGGCCTTGAAGGCTCGACAAAGCGCGGACCTATTATTGGTGGTATCGAAGTCGGTGCAAAGAAGCTTGTCGGCAGCGAAGGAAAAGTCATCGAAAAATCGCTAGTTGTCGGCGGTGGAAAGGAATCTTTCATTGTTGTAGCAAGTAGCGACGGAAAACAAATGACCAAAGAAGAGATGAAGAAACACGACATTGGTAATCTCAAAGACGTGGAGACATTCAAGAACACCTTGAAGAAGAAGGCGGGGAAGAAGGGATGGAAGTTGGTGCTGGCGACTACGCGTCAAGGCAGAGAACTGAGAGGCATCATTGATACTGAGGATGATGTCAGCGAAAAAAAGAAGAAGAAAAAGAAGGACTCGGGCAAGGATGGGGACGAGGAGACTGCAGGTATGGGAAGAGAAAAGGAACGAAAGAAGGATGCTCAGGAGGAAGATGAAGAAGATGTGTATGAGGGAAGTGAGGAAGAATACAAGGATGAGTTGTGATGTAATAGATTCTGCTTCACTGCTTATAACTATTCTGCGGCCTTTTTTTTACGAATTAATGATTCAAGATTTGCTTTTGCATTTACTTTGATAACTCTTGGTAACATGGTTGACATCAGAATCTCATTCAGCAAATCCCCAGACGCCCCTGGTATAGTAGGAGACTTTCACAGCTTCACCAAAGCTTCAAGTTTCCACAACCCATCACCTTCCAACCCCCCCCCCCTTTCCACATACTCTACATCTTCAGCACAATGAACATGCCCCAAGACCCCCGAAACTCATCTCTTCCACCTATCGTTCTTATTTCAATTCTACATCCCACTCCCTTTCCTCCTCTCTTTAGTTATATAACACACACACATACACACACACAACCTCCAACACCAAAGGACAAAAAGTGGGCCGCACAGAGGCGCAGCAACGAAGGACTACATCTTTTACACTGAAACGCCCTTAAACCTCATATGGATGGCATATGTAAGTGTGCAGGTTGGGACTCGTATATGCGGGTGGGGCTGTCTTGCTCAGCCACAGTGGTTTAGTGTGGAGTGGTCGGTGAGCGAAGGGAGGAAGAGGGATGGGGGCGGATAGCGGGGGTGGAAGTGGGGTGGGTGGGGAGATAGGCGGGCGTGTGTGTGATTACGGGTTTTGTTCGGGGGTGAACAATGGTACTGGGGAGTTTCTTGTGTGGGTTGTTGGGATGACGTGGTGTGTTGGGAGGTGGGAGCAGGATAAGTGGTACATTGATGTTTCAAGCTAGTGGTAAATATTCCAGACGCTTTGGAGAATCATGTATTCAGGTGATGAAGATGACGACGTACTATCAAATTCGAACAAAGAGATCTAATCTCAGATTTGGAAGAGAGAGAAAAGAAAAACAGAAAAAGGGAAGGGGGTATCCAACTATAATGACCGTGCACCAGCATCATGTCTTTCCAAGCAAAATCCTAAAGAAAACAAGGTTCGCTCGCAATGAGGCAGCGATACAAACAAACAAAAAACGAAAATGACCATGGCTATTCCCTTTCAATCCTCCTCAGACTCCACATCGCTCTCTATGACAGCAACCCTACAGGGAATACCATCACCAATACTCCAACCACTACCATTTCTCATGATGAGACCCTCATCGAGCAAATAACACTCAAGTCTCGTATCCTTGTACCAAGTAGTGCAGTCAAGCATACCAGCCCTCTTCGCACTATCCTTCTCAAGATGGTGTCCGATATGCTCGATGCGCTCATCCCAAGAAGTCGCACCCTCAAATTCGGAGTTGCAAAAGAGGCAGCTAGAATACTGTGGCGGGTCTCGCAGCTTACGATTGCAGCGATTCTGGTGCTCGGGGAGGTTGGCTTCGGTGACGGGGTATTCCTTTGTGGACTGGTGAGACTTGTCTTTGGGGGCGGCGTGCATGCGGCGCAGATGCTGGGTGAAGAGGTCTTTGCGATTGAAGTCGTTGTGGTAGAGAGCGTCATCGTCTTCTGGATCTACTGACGGCAGGCAGAGATCGCAGCGCCAATAGCCGAGCTTAATGTGTTGGGTGCTGATGTGCCTCTTCCACTCGTTCTTGGAGACGAAGTCGGACTTGCAGCCATATATAGCGAAGGGGCAAGGGAAGGGACGGCGATAGTCTGGGTGGGTGCTCAGGTCGATAGGGCTCTGAGAGGCCTTCGAGGTCCGGCGTTGTTTCTTCTCAGATTTGATCGGCGTTGTAGGACTGGTAGTGTGAGAGTCCTTGCGAGTATGTGTGCGACGCTTTGAGGTACGACTAGAGCTGTTGCTCGACGCTGTCGCCCTTTTCCTCTTATTGGACCGACTAGATGTCGGGTTATACTCGGAATCTGAAGTGGACTCTTCGGGGTAATCAATTGGTTCGACTGGTTCAACTGATTGAGCGTCTCTTGTGGAGAGTTCAATTGCCGAATCTGCATAAGTCGTGTACTCTCTTGTCTCTTCTGTCTTGACGGTTCCTTGCTCGTGGCTAGGAATAGCCTCTTGTTTGACATTACCATCTTCGACTTCCTCTGCAACTGCCTCCGTCACGCGGGTGTATTCGAGTTGACTAAGGGTACAGTTACTTGGAAATGCCGGAACGTCGAGCTGATAAGAGCCATTATGAAATTGCTCGATCGATGAACAGGGGAACGAGGCCTGAGGGTATTCCATGGGACCAGTGCATGGAGTAGCATGGTACATGTACGGAGACCGCAGCTCGTCCTGGGTATTCTGACTAGTATTGCCAGAAGACGTACGGTCAGGGGAGGGATGTCGAAGGTTGTCTGATGGGTGCCATTGGTACCCTAGATGTGCTGTGTACTGGTTGTATAGGGGCATGTTTGCCTCTAACATACCGCTGCTGAAGGGGTACGGGCCGTCCATGAAGCGCTGCATGGGTGGAACACTGATGCTGCCTTCATCGAAATCATCGAAACAGAGGTTTTCTTCCAAGGGATAATTTACTAGGTTCTGCTTGTATGGGTACATGTAGTTATCGTGGTTTGTGTTCCAGGTAGAATAGCGAGACTCGTCCATGGCTTGTATTTGCGACAAGTCTCCAAACTGAAGGGTATCTATAGCGAACATTGGGACAAAATCCGAATGTAGGGTTGAAATAGTTGGACTGAGTGACTGTATTAGAATAAACATATCTGATATCGCTTGATATTGTAGACTTACTCTAATGGTATCCAGAGATGCCCTAGTTCAAGGTATCACTTTCTCTGTGATGGCACGGCCTGCAATTCAACCCCCAAGAATATAAGGGGGCCAGATAAAAGATATCAAAACAAAAAGAGGCGGAGCAAGTATGAGGAATGTGGTGGAGATCCAAGGCAGCAAACCAGAGTAGTTTGCTATTGGGTTGCACTGCCCTCGAATTCCGGTACTATGGTGTACCTCCACCCTCAGGCTCTCATGGTCCACAGTGTTTTATGCCAGAGAGTCCTTGCAGAGCCGCATCACAGCCACCAATAAAAGTAGAGTTGCCTTGGCGTCTGTTCATCTTGCGCGCTTCAGCTTCACCGGTGGACCGGGCCCCCTGTCAAAGCACCAGCTGTCAGCCACCACAGGGCTCTGGCTCCTGCCGTCTGCCGTCACGGGCGCATAGAGTGTAAGCCCCCAGGGTGGAGCTGCAAATCAAAAAAACAATCTCTATGGTCTGGGTCGATCGCTTCCGTATGGCGATACGACCAAGCCAACTCGAGTCAATAAGCTGCTCCGCGGACAGCATAGCTTGCAGGATGTGTCGGAAAGAGGGTACGGGCCATGCGCACGTTCGAGCTGTCAACCCGCAGTCCCACCAGTTTGACCGTTGGGGGCCAAAAAACGAACATGTAAACGGACGGACGACGCATTCGGAGGACGAACCGCCTACACGACAGTGTCGACATCTCACCTAGGAGGCCGCGCATAAGGGTTCGTGGCCAGTCGCTGTCGTGCTGCTAGGCCGGGTGACCGGCACCAAGGATGCGATTGTTCCGAGGGTCATATCACACAGGCGATGGCTGATGGGAGTCAAAGGTCCCGACGAAGAGGAAGCGCCATTGCCATTGTGGATGGAGGGTGGAGGGTTAGAGGGTGGAGGGGTAGCATCTTTGATTGGAGCTCACTGCAGGATAGCTCGCCAGAACGAGGGGCGCGTCTCGCCCAAGACGACTCCATTCGGGCATCGAGATAGGATTGAGCATGATCTGCCGGACAGTGTTTCCCGTGGCTTGTTTAGGATGGATACATTTGTGACGCTGGCCGTGTATACCGTATGGTGAAGGTAACAAGAGTACGCCTAGGCTGTCTCAACATTTGTGTATTCCGTACGACTTGATGGAGTTGCCTTACAAACTAGGCAGTATGGTGCGTTGGCGAAGGCGCAATTGGGGGCGGAGCATGGCATGCTGTGAGGGTGACCGACGAGTGGCGGCCAGGCAACATGGGCTCTGGAGGACTCGCTTGCAGGTCAATGCGCCTCTCAGATCAAGGACAACGCGCCTGGAGGACCATCTTTTACCCCTGCGTCGGCATGTGGACAAGCTGGACATGGTTATCGTCAATCTGTAGTTTCTACTATTTGTCAGGAGATTATCGCGCCACGCAATGCATAAGTCGAGAAAGTTTCAAGCGGTTGTGATTAGTCCCCTCGCACAAGATGCCTCGCTTGGCATTTGGTCCCGTAGGCGTCCATGTTAGTCCGCAAGCCACAGTTACCACTGCCCCCAGAGCTGTGCGACTGGAACATTATGTACGGCACTCATGGAATCACTCCTCTTCGGCCGGGAATCCAAACAGGCATGGTTGACGCTGGATAAATCATTTTTCTGGCCAGTCCTCGATACTGGAGGACGCCACTTGACTACAGGGCTGGGCGACAGCTACTAGTACCTAGCACAGTGTAGCGACATCACGCTCCAAGTTTGGCAACCAGTCGGCCTTCGATTCCCTCCAATATCCATCGGTGCTCCAGCACCTCCAGATTCTCGGCTTCATTGAGGAAGAGCTTGTCGGGGTCTTGCTCGGGACCCATCATACCACCCGCGCCTGGATTCGCCATGGCCATCTGTTGTGAAACCTGGTTGGCAGCTGAAGGCCCACTGTCAGCTTGAGCTAGTAAAGCAGGCGAATGTTTACCGAACACGTACCGTTGTTGCTTCCAAGGATAAAGTTATAGACGGGTTGCAGGCCGAACAATGTCAGGAAGTACCAGGACAAACTCGACACCCATCTAACGTCGAGGTCGCGAGTACCTACTCCAGATTGGAGCATCGACTTGAATTGTGGCGTCAACGGGAAAGGTAATTTCACTGTGGAGTAGCGCCGGTTAGCATGTATCCATATTGATTTTCCACCATGGGAGATGGAGCAATTCGATGCGAACCCATGACTCGGGAGCGCGAAATGAACAACCACTCGCTTTCCCATGTATACAGGAGCCGAGCAAAGCGGAATTCGGCACAGCTGGAAACATTCTAGAGCAAAAGATCTGAGATGCCAGCTGAAAAACACCCCAGATCCAAGGGCTCAGGGTTGCAAGCTCTGGAATACGAGAAGCCATTCATTGCTCCACAACCCGGCACCTCAGCAATGGAACCCAATACTTACTAATAACGAAGCCCGAAAAAAAGGCATTGATCCAGCCCATGATCAGCGTCTGCGGAATCATCATCGTCATCTGGCCCTTCATCATGCCCATCATGCCCTCCATAGCCGCAGGGTCACTCATGGGATTCGGCCTGGGCTTCCCCCTCATCTCGGGCTCCGCGAGGAACTTTCCCTCCTGGAACGCCTGCACCATGTATGCCTTTCGTGCCACAAACGAGGCGGGCGAGATGACGTGCGCATTGGTGCGCAGATTGACGCCGCGGATGAGCGAGCGCTGCTGCCGGATCTTTGGAAGGTCTTGTTTCTTGGGCGTGGATTGCAGCAATGTCATGGCGTAGTGGCGGAGAATACCGGTAAGGACCTTGAGATGGGCGTCAGACTGAGGTGCATCATGGGAAATTGTTGAAAATGGATCTGTACCATGACGACTGTGATGGGGAGTAGAATCCACCAACTATAAGTAGAAATATTAGCAGCCGTCTTTCGTCGCAACAATGCATCATCCGCCAAAGGCTGTAGACAACGTACAACAGGGCAGGATCCCTATGGATCGTCTGGACTACGGGCTGCCCCATGGTTGGCAGGAACAGGCGAATTGCGCGGGATAGGCGGACGTTGAAAGGAGGGTGGAGGGGCGATGTTCAAAGTCGATGGTTGTCGTTCGGCCCAGAAACGAAGGTCGAGAGTCGAGAGCTACTCCGCCGCCGCTGAGGCTCCGGCGGGACGACCAGGGTCCGCGCGCTTTGCCCTTGTGGAAAGGTGTCCCATCCACCACGAGCAACGCTCATCACCAATTCCTCCCCCGCAAAGAAACGAGCGCTGGGCCCTGCTATTCTGAGCTGTCTGTCCCCAGTACCTCTCTAGTCTAGTCTGTGCACATCAACTTTGAGCGGACAAATATGTCGGCAACTCAGAAAATCGCAGTGCACTCGCTGCCAGGTACGTTGCGCGGGATACTCAATGTTTAGGAAACCTCACTCCACGCATAGCCATATATATAGACACTTCAAACACTGATACTTATGGTACACAGATCTCAAGAGCACAACAGACGATGCCCTCCCCAATTACCTCAACAGCCTCAAATTCAAGCAAATCCATACAAGCACCGACATACGATTAGTCCTCGGCTACACAGCCGTCACCATCGCCGGCGCCCTCTTCTACTACGACTGGAAGTTCGGCTGGGAAGCCAGCAAGCCCTTTACTCTCCCCGCCGTAGTCGCCTACTTCGTGCTCAACAGCATCTTCACCTACTGGCTCTGGTTTGTAGAAAAGGGCCTCGTGTACGAGGGCGAGGGCAAGACAGGCAAGGTATGCATTCGAACACCCTCTAAAGGATAAGAAGAAGAAGAAGACTGAAATAAAGGTGCAAAGCTACGAATATCGTCGTGGACAAAGAAACACATTCCCATTTACGAATGCGACGTCGTCTTCACGCCTGCCCCTTACGCTTCAAATCCTAAACAGACGCTGCACATTCGCGCACCCATGACGCGCTGGTTCACGGAAGATGGATATTTTGTCGCAAAGCCTTTTCAGCAGTGGCTCGCCTCGGAGATTCCGGTTGTCGGCGCTGCGGACCCGAATAATGTGGTTGAGGAGATTGGTAGGGGAAGCGCGAGCATGGACAACACATTGAACCTAAACAGTTCCAATGCCGTTGACATTCTGCAGCAGCTCAAGGCTAGCGGGGCTAAATTCGCGAGCGGCGAGGCCCAGAGACGAAGGTAGGCGTGCATCATGTTCTTGGAGAGCGCGGGGTTGAGATGTGCCAGGCATTGAAAAAAAAACGGACAGTTTTGTTTATAGACCACGATTGTGAGTATTGACCATGGCCCCTCGGGCTTTGAGATAAAAAAAATCAAAATTGGTCAATAGTGATAAAAGAAGAATTGAGGGATAACCGAAACCATTTTTTCGTTAGGTTGGAGTGTCATACAACATGTGTACACATACAAAATACCCCCGAATGCTCATGACATGAGAACTTTTGGCCTTCTCACAAGTATCCAATCTCGTCTTGTTTTCCTACGTCCTCAGCTACAACTACTCTTGCTCCAGCATAGGCAACACTTCGAGTTCTCGCTGTATAATCCTCTCAAACTCTTCCCTATCAATACCCGAAGCTCTCGCCAACCGGAACAAACTCTTGATGTCTGTGCTGATGTGCTGCTTGATGGCAAGCTCCGCTTGACTGGAGCTTTCTGCTTTTTGTTCAAGCCTCTCGATCGAGCTGGAAGACGCTGAAGAAGACGGTCGGGGGTGGTTTAGTGCACTGGCCGCTATCTCTCGATCCTGGCCGGCTGACATGTGATATATGGCGCTGTCGTTGCCATTGAGACCATCACTATTCATGTGGCCGTTTGTGTGTGCTGATGCAATGGACGAGTCGTAGCCATTGGGACCAAGGCTGGATGCGTTGAGAGCTTCAGTCTGGGGTCCACGGGCGTAGCTGAGAGCGTTGCCATTCAATGTGGATTCTCCTGCAGCTGGGCTTTCTTCGTCAGGGTCATGTGCGTCAAGCGCTGGTTGGACCTCGGAAGCGTAACGCGCAAAATACTCGAGTTCTGACTGCGTGGGCCCAACTTGCGTTTGACTGTTGCTTATCGGGGCAGGAGAACGCCTCGGCTGTGGTGTTCTCCCAGGCGTTTGGTCATATGCGGCCCAATATGAGCCATCGTCCTCGTCTTCCTCTACAGCCACTTCTGGCTCAAGGACCGCTTGCTGGATTTTGATGCCGTTGCTCTTTACGGTGCCCGACTTTCGTCTGAAGCCAGCTTCGTTTGCATCGGCGACATGCTTAAACCACTCTGTGCCGTCCTCGGCGTCTGCTAACCCTCTCAGCTCCGCCAGCAGCCAGCGACTCCCCCCTTCACCGCCTGTGCACCAAAGGTAGGTAGGTATGATTCCATATTCGCCAAGCACCAGTCTTGAATGTAGTGTTTCGGCGTCTGATCTTCGATACAAAATCTCGTCTGGCTCCTCAATCTCGATTTCGCCCGAAGAGGGGTGCGGCTCGACGTCGATTTTCTCAATGACTTCTGGGAGCCGAGACGCCACTTCTTGGTCCCAAGACAGCAGCGGAAGCCATTCGCTAGAGGATAGAAGTTGGACACGCTGGCGAAGTATGGGCGAGAGAAGAGGAAGAAGGCCTGGAGGCACGTCTTTAGATGCCTTTGCTGTTGCTAGACAGGCGAGTAGCGGTGGAAGGAGCTCTCTCGGGTCGGGCTGTGGGATGATTTCGCTAATTCCAGGCATGGTTGGAGTGTGAGTAGGCTAAGTAGCTGTAGAGCTTGATGTTTACTGTACAGCGAAGCAATGGCGTGCTCTTAATTGATGTAGCGCACGTGGTGATGAACTGTGCAGCAGACCGAAATGGGGGTTTTAAAACTTTGGGTGTCGCGAGAAGAGGTGCTTAGGATGTCTGAGACTGTCCGTTCTTTTTCTTGTCAAGCCAGATGCAGTGCTTTCGGGTCCGAAGCGGCGGAACACGGTCGTGGTCGGTGCTGTGACAGCTCACAATGTTGTGGAGAGTTTGTTGCGCTCTGTTTGTAGTGCCGGGCTAGTCTGGTGATGCTGTCACATGCAAGTGCAGCTGCTTGCATACAAAAGAAGCTTGCTGAAGCGGGGAACGGTGCGAGTGGCGAGTACTGGACTGTCGCAGATGGGTCGCAGAGATGATAAAGGGAGAAGAAGAGGGACGAGCAGCAGTAATTAGAGGGACTGGCCGTGGCATTTTGACGGCAACCTGGGTTGGGTAGGTAGACAAAGTGGATGCGTTGCTGTTAGCCTCCGTTCCGCCGAAGGTGGATAGCCGTTTCCGTTGAAAGCAGAAGGGCCGGTAGCGCCTGCCCGCACGGCGATATGGAAGGTGCGACTTGCTGCCGAAATGGTTAGCTTGGCCTGCCGCCATAGATCTGGTATACTATCGACAAAGAACCAGATCGCACTGCTCGATTGCAAACACAAGCGTCCTCAATGGAATCACCAGTTCCACTTTAGCTAACACAAGAGACGCTGCCCGAGCTGCTTGAATGCCAATCCTGCGCCGTGGTTGTAGTGAACCGAACCAGACATACTTGTCTATGCACACGCTGCACAGACAACCACGGTACAAGATAAACAGCCTCCAACATACTGTGTATCAACACCATCACCACCACCACCATATCGACATTCACGATGACGTCAGCTTCTTCTGTGAAAAAGGCCCAACTTGGGAAGGCTGCGGGTACCTTGCATTCTTCAGCAGACTGAGGCAACATGCCACAATACCGTATCTATACCTTGGACTCTGCTCTACTGTAGCACACCTTCCTCTCTCCGGCCTCTCCACTCTATTTATACGTGAGCGTGAACTGGCGAGCAATTGTGTGCCGGCCTGATGCAGAATTCCACCAATGGCAGATCGGCAACTCGGCATCTGCACTGCCTTGAATTGCATTCCACCTCGCCAGCAGCGCGTATCAAGGCCTCGCACCATGTGGCTTCCGCTTTTATGGCACCTTTCAAAGTTTACTGTTTGAAAGCTGACATGTTCGAAACCACCTGGCTGGAACTACAGCAGTGCGCAGTAGTGTACTACACTACTCAAGACAACAGGCCTATGGGTCGGCCGTCTTGCCATACTCCCGACGGGCCCCACCATCAGCCGCTATTCGTTATTCGCCATTCGCTCGACGAAACTGGGGCTCAGTGACGAACTATGTAATACCGCACCCGCTCGCGACGTAGTTTGAGAGGCTTCATGCCCGTGCGTGGCTGATGGCGCCGATGCAATGTCATCGCATCGCGCATCGCAACATGGACATGTGCACGAATCGGCAAGGCAAGACAGCGGCTCAAGACCGTCAACGTGCCACGAGAAGCGTCGGCTGCCATGGCACCCATTGCACATGAGGCCCAATGCTAAGCCAGGCATACCTTTATATAGCACCTGCAGCGGCTGCAGACCCGCTAAGCGCCAGCGTATGCGGGCGGGTAGGTGGGCAGCGTTATGCCGACAGCGCGAAGGTTGACCCGATCGTATGCTCCAAACATACAATGCTGTTCAGAGTGGCGTCCTTGTTGACCGAGGACACAACAGGGCCGCCCGGGACCATACACAGTACCAATTTCTCCATGTGGTTTGAGGCGGAGGCATAGCCACCCGCTCACTCCATAGCCAGCCCCCTGCTCCCGCCTCTGTATAGCATCTGAGGCTGTGCCGTTTGCATCAAGCTTGCCAAGACCCTGTCACGCATCGCCAAATCTGCCTCGAGGCGCCAGTCAAGCTCACAGCTGCTGTCGCATTGTCGCGCTTGTTTTCACCCAACCTGCTTGTTACTCACTGCTTTCCAACCGTCAGGACACCCGACGTCCGCATTGCCTCCAAAACACGGACACAGGCCCGCTTGGCGTGCATCCCCTCTACCCCAGTCTTACCATTTTGGACATCTTGGGGAATCAGCCTTGACCGGCTCCTCTTACTTTCCCACGTTGCTGCGGCTGGCTCCACTGTCTACTTCGAATTTCACCCTGTTTTCACCAACCGACTCTTCGGGGACTTGCCTTGTTCTTTTGGTACTTGCTCGCACTGTCTCCCGACCTGCTCATTCTCCATCTTACACCCGTCCCACCTTGAATTGCCGGCACCGCCTCCAGCCACAACGGCTCCAGAATCCCCTCCTGTACGAGGCAGATCGCCAACCGGTATCAAGGTCCCAGCTGCCTGGCCTCTTTCGCCATCGGTCACGCCGCGACATTTTTCTGTCTCGATTTACCCTACAGTCAATCCATTTGTACGTCTGAAGGCGTTGCGACACTTACCCCTCCTCTTCTGCCATTGTGGTTTCGCATAACTTGGATTGGTAACCCATCAGGCAGCACTATGCCACCCTGAATAGCCATACAGTGTCACGTTACCGCTCCGCACCATCCTGATCATCGCCACCCTTTGTGGATTGCTGCGATCTAATCTACCATTGAGTCAGCCTTTTGGTCGCTCAGCGCAGTCGGACCAACGATGCAGGTCGATACTCATACACAGCCTTTCCTAGATGCTCGCCGCCAGCAACGCCACCTCCAGGATGTGCAGGCTAACGGCTATCATCCCGCACCTACTACCAGCAATTTCCTAATGCCGGAAGCGCAAGGCACATTTACCTTCTCTGCGGAACCCACATCCATGGTATACGATGCACCCATGGCCTCGTCCGCTACTCCTGGGCAAGAGTCCATTCTCACACCCAATATTGGTTCTTCCCTCGACTCGTCATTACACCCAGACATGTCATACCCACCGCCAAATATCTACAACCTGTCGCAAAACTACCACCTTTCTCCAAGCTCCTACTACGCAAATGGCCAAAACATCTCGCCTGAACAGTCAGCAGAACAGTTCAGCTCTGAAACTGGATACACAAGCGACCCCAACTATCAAGATCTCAGCACATGCCCGACACCCAACTTCAGTGGACAAATCCTTGATGAATTTTCTGCTCTCAATTTCGCCGACAACAGTGCGACCAGTAATTTTCCGTCCTTCCAAGGAAATGTTGACATGTCGACCCTGACCACTGGTTCGCTAAACGTGTACAATGCTCAGCCAGCAATGACTCATTCCTACACTTCGCTGGATCCGCGCCAGCAGTTACTATCACCAAGTGCGACCAACAACTCTAGCCCGGCATTGGGCGATGAGAGCTCCACGTTCACTTCGACGCAGTATACTGGAAACACATCAACGCCACCGAACCATGCGAGCCACCTGCAGCACACAACACCAACGAAACAAATACAGAGTCCAGCATTGACAAACAGTCCTGGTAACGTGCCACCGGTCAACATTCAGTCCCTTACACGCCAATTGACAAGTCCTATCGTACGCGTTGAAAATTATAGCAGTAGCAGAGAAGGGTCGCCTTCGCGTTCAGACCGTAGCCGATCTATTGGCAGACTGAGCTTCAGTAGCCGCCATTCCGGGAATCATTTATCCCCCTACGTACATAATGATGTCTCGGAGAATGAGTCAGAAACACAAGAACGAACGTATATCCAGCCAATGATTAATAGGCCGGAGCGTAACGACGATGGGTCATGGCTGGCAGCGGGAGCATCTGGTCAAACAGGCCTTAGTCCTGACGACCGCCTGAAGATGGGAGATGCGTGGATCCCTAGCATTGAGGAGATTGCCGAACAGCGATCCAAGGAAGAAAAGAAGCTAGAAGTGCAGGAGTGGCTTACCAAAAGCGAGGTTGGGAGCGAAGCAGGCGATGTGGCACCCGCAAACAATCTGCTCAAGCCAATGACCGGCAGGCGTCGAGCAAAGAGTCACAACGATATCCAACGACAGGCTTTGTCTAGCAGCTTTGGTCTCGGCGTCAACACAGGTTTTGATCACATTGACGATACAGGTATACCCGGGCCGGGAGTATACATTGACGAGCGAAGCGACTTCGGCGACTACGACTACGAAGATGATGAGTCTATAGAGCCCGAGTCTCCTCCTGCCGTTATCGATTTCGGTACAAATCACGTCGAGAACTCATATTTCCCGCCTATTCATGAGATAGATTTGAATGCCAGTGCCATCGTGAAACCATGGGTCGATGTACCTTCGGTGGCACCGCAACCATCAAGCTCTGGCCGCTACCAGCCACCTACTTCGAATGCTGCTATGATGCGATTCCGATTACGAGCAAAAGACATTGAGCAAGCTTCCCTGGCCGCTACAGTGGGATCACGTCGTCTTAGTGAATCTGATATTGGTAGTCTTCGCGCTTCACCCGGCGTCGCAAAATTGATCGAACCCGACCCTAAAAGGAGTAAAGAACGCCAACGCCGACCCAGTTTCCTCGAAACCATTCTCCCCAAGCGGGCGCCAAGCAGTCTACTGAAACGCAAGAGCAGCATCCCTGTGCAACAGTCTGACGCATCCTCAGACAAGTCAAAGGAACCTGTCATGGAGAAACCCAAGCGTATGAGTAGTTGGGGTCGTCCCAAATCACCACGAGTAGATACCAATCTCAGCAGTCACAGCAAAGAATCCGGCGCATTGAGCTCTACGGGCTTGACTGTAGCCCCAGCGGGACCATGGTATAAAGGAGGACCTAGGAGCGTCATCAAACGCAGTAGAAGCAGAAGTGACATTGGCAAGTCACCTGGTCTTGCAGAGCTAATGACACAGCACGGAGGCCCTCCAATGCCCATGCTCGCCTCCCCTCTTGCAGATACAGAGGCCATGAAGTCCTCTGCACAGCCAAGTCCAGCTGGAGATGACGATGATGACGATCACGATCCAGTGACAATGGACCTAACGGTTCGCACCGATCCAATCATCCCAACGTATGAGGGCTTCAGGACAAACACGCGACAGCTCAACCCACGCCTTGATGACTTTATGGTTGAGCGTATTACTCAAGAGCAAATGCGGAGATACAAGCGGTTGTTGGAATTCAAGGTGAAGCACTTGAATGCCGTACAGAGCAAAAAGTGCCCATCAGGCGGCTTTTGTACGGACTTGGGCGGAGAAGCAAAATTGCTTCCTCCACGAACAGGAGCGAAGGATGCTGATGCTCCGTTCATTGGTTTCCAGGTTACTGCCCCTGGCTCTTCTGATGATGATGGCGAGCACATGGTAGAGGGAAATATTGCCCCTGCTGCATTCCCATCGGGGGTGCCTCTTCCTCCAGTCAAACGCCTTCCTGCTGAGTTTGAATGCCCACTATGTTTTAAGGTGAAGAAATTCTACAAGCCTTCCGATTGGACTAAACATGTACATGAAGATGTGCAGCCCTTCACATGTACCTTTCCAAATTGTGGGGAGCCAAAGTCATTCAAGCGCAAAGCTGACTGGGTTCGCCACGAGAATGAGCGGCATCGTCAGCTTGAGAACTGGACATGCCAAATCTCTGACTGTAACCATGTCTGTTATCGTAAAGACAATTTTGTACAACATCTTGTTCGCGAGCACAAGATTGCCGAGCCGCGACAACGTACAGGTCGAGCTGGCAACAAAGAGGCCCCAACAGCCAACGATCAAGGTAAGGCAGGTATCAGGCCACATTACAACGGTTACTAACGCTTGGGTAGAAGACATTTGGACCATTGTTGAAAACTGTCGACGCGATACTGTAAAGCAGCCAAAGGATGAGCCATGTCGATTCTGTGGCAACATTTGCAATAGCTGGAAAAAGTTGACTGTGCACCTAGCCAAGCATATGGAGCAGATCAGCATGCCCATCCTTCCTCTTGTGAACCAGAAGCAGCTCAACGCCGACAGCATCATCAGTCCCATCGTAGAACTTCCAGAAAGCCGGAAGCTGTCCATCGCCTCTGCCCGCTCACCCATGGACAACACTCTACGATACAATCCCAGTTCGATATATGCGCCTGGAATTGGCCCACAGAGTCTCTATTCTCACGATATGAAGCCACAGGTGGCATCTACTACAATGCAGACATATCCGCCTCCACAAATGGTCCCGCCATCAAATCACGTCAACGAATATACGAATTTTGTCGGTAACAATACTGGAGGCTATTCCAGCCAGACTCATCCCGGGCTTCAGTTTCCCCCAAAGCCCCACAATGGCTATTCCAATGTACTGCAGATTCCTAATCAATCGTACCAACACGGCAACATGCAGGGCGGAGTACAGCAATACGGTATGACTCCTATGAGCACTGTCCAGCAGCAACAGGCCATGTACACAGACTCTCCGGTTGATACGAATACCACGCCGTTTCCTTCCTACTACCCGCAAGACCCTCAGGGACTGACGACTGAGGTGCCTGGCATGGGTTTCGATAGCGGCAACGAAATACACTACCAGCAGGGCAGCACTTATCCCGCTATGTCGTACCCGACGACACAACACAACTATGATTACTCGCAGCCGCAATAGAGGTTATGGTTGGGATTTGAAGGGCGTTTGTGTTTTGACGGCTCTGATTTCAGCTTAGAGAGGTATTTTCTTGGGGGTTTGTTTTTGATAATGATTTTTTACGATATCCATTCGTGCACTGGAAGGTAGAGTTGTGTTATCAAGCGAATTGGTCTTGAACGTGTGGAGATAGCTACTGTCCCTGTTTGTTTAGACGAGCTGCTATGTAGAGTAGGATAATGGCACAATATGTAGTAAGCTCGAATGGCTCCTAGACGTACACGGTTCGATCCCACTGCACTACGTGGGACCGTCTTCCTTTGGAACTCGTGACGATTGAGTGTTTGTAGCGGGTGGCCTGCACAGCGCAAATATGGAAAGAGAGCCGCAACCAAGCGGGCTCATATCGCATTCTCACTTGTGCAGGACGCCACGGCGCTGTGTCCAACACCATGACCACGGCCGTATGCACAGCGAAGCGGCAGAGTCCTCTGTGCTCAAACATGGCGATTAATCTATCAAGGCTACCCATCCCCCATGCGTGTGGTCCCACGCATCAGAGCGGCATGCAACATCCGCGCTGTCGCCCGGTCGGAATCTCACCAAGTGATTGGCTGAAGCAGTTGGAGGACCTCTCTCAACACAGGCAGGTTGACACAGCCCCCCACCACCCCCGGCGGGCATTGAGTCCTCCATCTGCAACTCGCACAGACGCTTGAGTGGTGCATACGATTCGCGCTAAGTGACGCTGCAGGAGGCAGAAGAGGGCAAAAGAGGGCAACGGTTGCCTTGGAGGAGCCGATGGGAGGCCGCCCATAGTATCGTCACCATCTCCGTCATCATCGCACCGCCATGACTTGCTGATTGCGATAACCGTGGCCATGGGACGGAGCTACAGCGTCGCCCATTAATTTTAGAATCCCAGTCGAATCGGCATTTCTGTGCATCCTTCCTGACACGGCGCCACGAGGGGGAATCGGCGTCCCGGTGTGCAAGCCTGCCTATTCCTTCCTTCTCCTTACCGGTATACCAGTAGGCGGTGCAGGCCCGTGCACTAGGAGTTCGAAACGGAGGACCTCTGGGGCACCAAGACGTCTCTTGCACCACCTTGTTGGATAGTGCAGAAGATTGAGGGGCGGTCGAGTGGCGTGCTGCATTTACTAATGCGCACACCCGTGCCTTTTCTCCTTTACGAAGTTTTGCGTACTGCGTACTTTCAGGCAAGCCTCGGGCCGCTCCAGTAGGCTGAACACCTGGATTGAGGTATGTTTTGGATCCGGTTTGACGAGGCCTTCTATGTTGTCTATGCATGTTCTTCAAGTTTATACCCTTTGGTTCAACACCGTCCCATTTGCTCCAAGGAGCGGCCAACTAAGAGGCAACACGTCGATGCCTCAGACAACCATTCAGCAGGCTGACTCGTGGTAGCAGAAATGTCCCAATACTACCCTGACAGAAGCTACCAGCAGCCCTTCGACTCTGCTTTCGGCCATATAGAACCTCGCTACAATGGTTCAGTACCTCGACTTCACATCAGCACTGCAGAACAGACAGAGCCATGGAATCTGTCACAGCGCCCACGAAGCGTGCAAGATATGAGAGAGCAGGCATACAGCCCAGCTACGTCGGTACATACCACCAAAACTACTCCCGGCCCGATGCTAGCAGAGCGAATGATCTATCATCAGTCAGATCTGTCTGCAGCACACAACAGTCTCAGTCTCGGTCTACAGAGTAGCTCATCTTTGCTCACTCCCAGCTATGGTTCCTCTACATTCAACCCAACTACACAAGAAGATTCATGGAGTTTTTTCAATCTCCGAAGTACTGGAAATAGACAGGCACGCCATGTATCACGCCATTCTAATGTTGAATCGCCGCGCTATCCTCGCAGTGGACTTCATGGTAAAGGTGTTGTGCCTTCTGATGAAGGCTACTTCTCAGTCCAAACAAGCCAATCAGCACTCGGTAACGAGGCTGACTGCTCGAGCCGAAGTTTGCCAATAGATTTCTACAGCCGAATTGAAAACATGAATGTCGAATCTGTGGCTAGTATTCCAACGGGAGTGTCAACTCTACCCTCGGATCAAAGATCTCGTGTTAGCAGCACGCGTAGCCGTAAATCAACAAGCAAATCAATCAAGTGTGATCAGGCTGGATGTGATGAGATATTCAAATGTAAATCCGAGTACAAGTGAGTATGTTTCGGCTCTATAATTACCGACAGTGCTGAATTCTGAACAGGAAGCATCAGCTCAAACATGACAAGCCATTCACTTGTGACGTACCCGAATGCAAAAGGGCTTCCCAAGGATTTACCACATCAAACGATCTTGATCGACACAAGAAGAGTGTTCACCAAATAGACTTCAACAGCAGATCTTATAGGTGTGTAGGCAAAAACTGTAAGAATAAGGAAAAGATATGGCCACGTCTGGACAATTTCAAACAGCATGTTCAACGAATGCATCCAGACGAAGATGAAACGGAAGTGATTGAGAGGTAGTGCTCTGTGTTCAGATGTTTGATATGGAAAGCTAACGTTGGTAGATCGAAGCTGAACCCTGAAAAGCGACCCTCTTTGATGAATCAGGAGCCTGTGAATGCACACATGGACGCCAACTTTGTTTTGACTGGCATGGATAAGTCCTTCCCACTCAGTCCAACGACGGGTAATTCATCTCCCCTTGACCTTTCAATGAAACGAGACCATGAGCGCTGGCCGTCACTCGATCTGAGCCTAAGCCCTACCAAGGATGAACATCAAACAATTCATTTTTCAGGAGACAATTCTTTTGCAGCTCAACCTGCACATATTCCTGGACAGCGTCGTGGCCAACGCCGAGCACCTGGGTTGTCATTAGCTCAGCAAACACAAATTCCTCTCCCCTCCGATGTGTCCACAGATACTCCACCAAGAGAAAGGATTCCGCAGGCTCCTCTATCTGATATGAATTACGGGTTCTCTAATGCACCTCAGACAAAGGCTGAGCAACAACGAATGGCACAGAGGAAGCCTGCTGCTATGTCTTCCCCTTCTGCTTCTGTAGAGATTGGTCATATCTTGAACATCCTACACCAAGCGAGTGGTTCAGCAAAACGAGTTGAACAATTAGCTGAAAACGTACAGCCAGATTCGGACACCCAATCTGATACGGATACAGTAGTCTTGACTAGACATGATGCTTTGCAAATACTCAAGTTTATCACACAGAGCACAGACATTTCTCAGGCGGCGCCGTGTAAGACTGAAAAAATCCCGACAACAGGGCTGAGGGTCTGTCCGCGTCCTAATTGTGGGTATGCCGTTAATCGGGATTGTGATTTGCGTAAACACATGAAACGGCATGAGAAGCCTTATGGCTGCACGTATCCAAGGTGCCATAAGCGCTTTGGTGCGAAATCAGATTGGAAACGCCACGAAAACAGCCAACACTTCCAGCCCGAGGTATTTCGATGTGCTTTTGAGCTATCGCCCGGTGCGATTTGTGGAGTGTATTCGCCTCAAAAGGAAGCATTCGAAATCCACTTGAAGACACATGGCGTTTCTTCTCCCGAAGCTACGGGGATTCTGAACACACGCAGCAAGATTGGAAAGAATTGTCAAGGGTCCTTTTGGTGTGGCTTTTGCAAAGCTATCATTGAGCTCAAGACGAAGCTCAATGCAGCGTGGGACGAACGGTTCGATCACATAGCAGAGCACTTGGAACAAGACAGTAACAAAAAGAGCATTGAAGAGTGGATATGTGTTGAGCAGAACAAAAGCAAGAAGGAGTTACTCGAGGAGAGGAATCGAAACGATGACGAAGATGAAGAGAGGCGAAAAAACAACGACTTCGCATCTCTTAGAGGGGAACGTGATTGCGATGATCCGCTTCTACATCCGCCTTCCCCACTAGAACACGGACCTTGGACCCCGACATCGACCGGTGCAGGCTTATCGCAATCATTACCCCCATATTCTGGTAATGAGGGTAACAGAAAGCGATCTGCACCTAACCATGCTGATGACCTGGATCCAAGGAGCAAGCAAAAGAGGAGAGTGAACACTAATACGACCAGGTATTGTGTATGTCCATGGCACACCACGTCCATACTCTGTCGATGATGGCTAATTGTAGAACAGTGCTCTTGTCAAGGCGGACCATGCAACTCACTTCAGCCTTCGTGCCTAGATTGTAACCATGTACTATGTTGGAATTGTAAGTTGATTACAGAGGAGTTTGCAATGGTGGATTCAATGGAACTTTATTAGCGGTGTTGGGCAGGGGTCCGGATATTGATTTGCGGCGCTTGATTCCCCCTCAAAAACGATGGATAGATCTCTTTGATTGATCTTTGTTCTTCTCTTCTCTATTCAAATACCAAACTTTCAAGTCGCCTGCTGCTTTGACTTAGCCAAGTGGCTCATGGTTTATAATCAAGGGCAACGGGGGGCATGCGGAGCTGTCAGGATAGGATGGGCGATGACATGCGTGTCGGCGAAACAAAGTGCCGAGGCGCGGAGTTGGAAACGTGTGCTCTATCACGGTAGCTCTCATCGTTGACGCGGCCCATTGCGACCACCAAAACCACTCCTTGACCTCTCTCTTTTCTTTCTGCTTTCACCTGCAAACATGGCTGCCGCCGTAGACGACGGGCAGTTCCTCAAGCAGGCGACTGGCCGAAACACTCGAGGCTTGCTACGAGTGATTATCCTGTGCCTGATTGCGGGTGCGGCCGTGAGCAGCCGTCTGTTCTCAGTGATTCGCTTTGAGAGCATCATCCACGAATGTCAGTAGTGATGCAATTAGCATGCCACCCGGACAATTGCATCGAATCTGGGCTGACCAATTGACACAGTCGATCCCTGGTTCAATTTCAGGGCAACAAAGTACCTCGTTCAGCATGGCTTCTACAGCTTCTGGGACTGGTTCGACGACCGTATGCTCCTCTCCGCCCTGCTAGTAAATCAGGACAGCCCCGACTGACATAACATCACAGGAACATGGCACCCGCTGGGCCGAGTTACTGGCGGCACTCTCTATCCCGGATTGATGGTCACCAGCGGCGTCATCTACCACTTCCTCCGCGCCATTGCCCTCCCCGTCGACATTCGTAACATCTGCGTCCTTCTGGCCCCCGCATTCTCCGGCCTCACTGCGCTCGCCACATATCTCCTGACTTCAGAGATGGTACCCTCGCCCTCGGCTGGTCTGCTTGCGGCTGCCTTCATGGGCATCTCACCCGGTTACATTTCGCGATCGGTGGCCGGAAGTTACGACAACGAGGCCATTGCCATCTTCCTGCTTGTCTTCACCTTTTTCCTGTGGATTAAGGCTGTCAAGATCGGTTCCATATTCTGGGGTGCCTTGACTGCCCTGTTCTACGGATACATGGTGTCGGCGTGGGGTGGATACGTCTTCATCACAAACTTGTTGCCTCTGCACGCTTTCGTCCTCATCTGCATGGGACGATACAGCCCGAGACTGTACGTCAGCTACACTTCGTGGTACGCCCTGGGCACGCTTGCGAGTATGCAGATTCCCTTTGTCGGTTTCCTGCCCATCCGCAGTAGCGAGCACATGTCGGCTCTTGGTGTCTTTGGTCTCCTCCAGCTTGTCGCATTCGTCGACTGGGTCCGCGCACAGCTTCCAGGCAAGCAGTTCCAGACGCTTCTTCGCGCACTGGTTCTGGGTGTCTTCGTCATTGGCGTCGGAGGTCTGGTGCTTTTGACCGTCTCGGGTGTCATCGCGCCTTGGACTGGCCGTTTCTACTCCCTCTGGGACACTGGATACGCCAAGATCCACATTCCCATTATCGCCTCCGTCTCCGAACACCAGCCTACCGCTTGGCCCGCGTTCTTCTTCGATCTCAACATGATGATCTGGCTCTTCCCTGCTGGTGTCTACCTGTGCTTCCGCACTTTGACCGACGAGCAAGTCTTCATCGTCATCTACGCTGTCCTTGCCAGTTACTTCGCTGGTGTCATGGTCCGTCTCATGCTTACTCTGACTCCCATTGTTTGTGTTGCATCTGCCATTGCCTTTTCCCAGATCCTTGACACCTTCCTGGACGCCAAGACGCCTAAGCCCAAGACCGAGAAGGAGAGTGCCGACGCGGCTTCAGTTGCAGCAGCAGCAGTGCTCCCAGACGGCCTCCGATCGACCCGTAGCCCCTTGGTTGGTATTTACTCATATGCCTCCAAGCTCACTGTCGTCGGTTCTTCCGCCATCTACCTTGTGCTTTTCGTTATGCACTGCACGTGGGTTACCTCAAATGCCTATTCGTCGCCCTCAGTCGTGCTCGCATCCCGCACGCCCGATGGCCACCAACACATTATTGATGATTACCGTGAGGCGTACTACTGGCTCAGGCAAAACACTCCCCAAGATGCAAAGGTCATGGCGTGGTGGGATTATGGCTATCAAATTGGCGGCATGGCTGACCGCCCCACGCTCGTGGACAACAACACATGGAACAACACGCACATTGCTACCGTTGGTAAGGCTATGAGCTCCAGTGAGGAGGTCAGCTACCCGATCATGCGCCAGCATGAAGTCGACTATGTTTTGGTGGTCTTCGGTGGTCTTCTCGGCTACTCCGGAGACGATATCAACAAGTTCTTGTGGATGGTGAGGATTGCCGAGGGTATTTGGCCAGAGGAGGTCAAAGAGCGCAGCTTCTTCACATCGCGAGGCGAATACCGTGTTGACGAACAAGCTACGCCAGCCATGAAGAACAGCTTGATGTAAGTTTCCCACCTCACGATTTTAAATCTCACATACTGACTGCTTTTCTAGGTACAAGATGTCATACTACAACTACAATGCGCTATTCCCTGCAGGCCAAGCACAGGATCGTGTCCGTAACGCGCGTCTGCCCGCCCAAGGTCCAGAGCTCAGCACCATTGAGGAGGCCTTTACTAGTGAGAACTGGATCATCAGGATTTACAAGGTCAAGGACCTTGACAACTTTGGTCGTGACCACCAAAGCGCAGTTTCCTTTGACAAGGGCCACAAGAAGAAGCGCTCTACAAAGAGGAAGGGTCCCAGGGTACTGAGAGTGGAGTAGGTGGTCCAAAAAATGTAAGAACTTTGATAGATACTTAGTTACTGTATAACATAAGACACTTCTGGCACGATTCGCAGGGCGGGCGTTTGGGAGGAATAAAGAAATATTAGCCACCAGTTTTCCATATAACGAGGTGAATTGTGTCAGTTGGAGTTGGGTCTCAATTGGCATACAAGTTTGTGTTATGAACGCTGTCCTCACCGCACTCTCCTTCACCCCTCATTTTCACTCACCGCGCAGATCAAATTTGATTGGTCATACGCATTTCCATTTGCTCCCATCACTTACTCTAAGTTTCTGCCTAACTCTCTTTCTCCTCTGCTTTGCTGCATCGCACTTTCCGTGCCACGCGGACTTGACTTGCATAAGCTGCAACTGCTCAGCGATCTTTCCTTATTCCTCAACCTGCACGGGTGCACCTACCACGAAGCCCCAGATGGCGAACGACGAACAGAGAAGAGCTTTCGAGTCGTATATGGGCCGCGCGAATAGTGACAACGGGCAAGTTCAGAGTCCAAGTCAGCCTCTTGCTCAGTATCCTGGGTCAGTTGCTCAGCCGGGCAACCCATATCTTTATCAAGTGTAAGTGGATCTCTGTAGTTTAGCACTGGAAATTGGTTAACAAGTGATGTAGAAGTTGTTGTCATGGACTTCGTAGTCTAGTATCACGGAGTATCACTGCTCACACACATCTAGCAATTCCCTGGGCTCGGAGTGCCCCCTGCAGCACCGACACCGCCGCCGGCAGCATCGTCTTCTGTCGCTTCGTTTCCAGGGTACCAAGGTGGATATTCTCAACCCAGCTATGGACTGGGTGTATATGGTTCAAACGGTATTCCGCAGCGTCCGCCGCCACTAGGTGACCCTCAAGCACAGCAACAGCAAGTGCAGCAACAGACGCCAACGGGAAGTGGATTTCAAGGACACGTTCAAGGCTCTGGAAGCTACAGCGCGCAACCCCCGCCCCCCTTGAGCCATAGTGGGTGGCCATACAACCATACAGATAGTGGAATGGCCAGTCACCGCGATGTTCCTGTCACAGGGGCCGTCGTCCCAACATATCGCAGCCACACTCAAGAGGTGGTACGATCAAGTTCGAGACACAGAAGGGAAGAGTATTATTATCATAGCCGTGACCCGGCTCAGACAGCTCAAGCACCGCTAGTAGAAGAAGTGGTCGTGCCAGTTATGCTCTGTCATACCTGCAGTCACTGCGGTCAGATGCGTTCGGCAGGCTACCACCGAAATAACCCAGTCGTCCCTGGCAAACCTTTGGTCTCTACGCCATGTCGCAGATGTAAGAAGAAGCTTGACAACTTATATCGGTCGAGTAGTCGCTATACTCGCATTCGCAAGTGTACAGCCGACGAGCCCTGCGATTGGCCTAGAGAGCCATTCCGAGTCGACGCTGGACAAGATGAGTCTAGAGGTAGGCGAAGAAGTAGAGAGGAGGTTTATGTGAACAGATACTCTCCAAGTCGACCTCGGGTAGTGAGACGCGAGTCCAGCGTAGCACATCTAGGTTTAGGAGCATATCAACAGTCATCAAGAAAGGAACGAGGAGGGAGAAGATCTTCATCTAGTCCTTGCCATTCTACAAGGTACACTGGCGGAGTGTGGCCCCCACCTGACATTGTACGTCTGGAGCCAAGGCAGGCCGATCAGCCGTGCTCTGTACCACTTGGGTCCTCTATAAGCTATGCATCGAAGTCAGAAGAAGTATGGCCTCCTCCAGACATTGTTCGGACCCATTCGTATAGGGACGTGGAGAGAAAATCGCTACGCCGCCAGAGTTCTAGGATTATCGAACTCAGTCCCTCTCCGCCGCCTTCCCGGCCAAAATCAACCAGAGTTGTCTATCGTAGCGATTCGCAAGAACACCGACGTAGAAGTATAAGTAAATCACCTTCTCGCGTCAGATCTCGCGGAGAAAGGCGAAGTGAAGAAGCAGAACCTCGTCTCACATCGCACCCCCTGCCATTTCGAACAGTCATTTCTGACTGCCAACATGCCTCTTTCCACGCATCGGACGAGACCTGTAGCAATGCCGAGTCAATACCTCGCCAAAATCCAGAATCACCAACTTGTAGCATCTTGAAACCCGGTAGCATTGACCATCGCGACACAACGTCTCAACGGAGAGCCAGCGTGCGCGCAAGCGAGCAAAGCGTGCACGTCGAGGTCGGAGGACCACCTCGTGTCCGATTCAGCGGCGAGCGAAGAGAGGAGTTATCAGACCGCGAACCGGCAAGACGATCAAGATACAACGATGAAGACGGGTCCAGCAAAAAGAAGTCTGAGTATTACCAAGATCATTCTCGCGAGCGCGTGCAGTATGAAACCCGACCTCGACCACGCCCAAACCAAGACTTTGAAAAAGTCCGCACGAGGTACTGCTCCCCAGTACGTGACAGAGACTACGAAGAGGAAATCAGAGTGGATAAGCAACGTCGTATCTCTCCCTCCCCTTCTCCTCCGAGAATTAGAAGCAGAGAGTACGAGGAGATTCGCGTTCGACACGTCTCTCCTCTTCCTGTCCGACGCTCATTGCATGATCCGCTGCTCTCTGATTGTGACCCGTCACCACCGCCACCTCCTCCTCTATACCGCCATGTATCCCGCGCAAAGGCACTCGATGATAGACGCTCGGTGGCGTCGCCTTCTCCTCCAACTGCACATTCCAGAGAGGAAGACCACACAGATTGTAGTAGTACGGGCTCGGGGGATGTGACGGTAGTGACGAGGACGTGGAAGGGCATCGATGAAAATGGGCGGCCGGCGACGTTTGTGGAGGAGAGAAGGGAGGTCAAGATGCTTGCGGAAGGGAGTGAGCGGGGTGGTGCTGCGAGGGAGTATAGGGACTTGGGGTATGGCGATCGGGTTAGTAGTGCTGGGAACGTGTGGAGGGATGTTTGAGTATTGAGAGGATGACATGGTGTAATGACACGGATGGCGGGGATTGAAAATGTCGGGACTGAAGACGGGAGTTTATTGTGGTTTAGCTGTATTTCAAGAAGAAGAAAAAAAATGGGTTCATCATGCGTAATTTCGTTTTCCAACAACTGTGTCGAGTCTACTTCGTGAAGAGATAGGAGAAAAAAAAAACGAAACTTAAATACCTACTAACACCCTCTTCTTCTCCCCCATCACACCGTATCCAAAACCCGACTCTGCAACGAACACAAATCGACAATCATAGCTACACCAGCTACCTCTTTGGCACTCTCATCCAACCGCTCCTTGACAAGAGCTTCAGTAGCAGCATCGGCCTCAGCTGCCACCTTAGCCCATGCTGCAGCCTCCTTGGAACCCCCAGCAGCGGGTAACAAGTGGCTTTCGCCGGACAGGCGCACCAGCGCTTCCTGTGCCTCTTGGTCTGCAGCAGCGAGGTGTGCGGCCAGATGGACCGTGCGCTGAGTAAGTGCGCGCTCGCTGGTTGCAATGTGTGCGAGGGGAGAGAGGTAAGGGAGGAGTTTGGATATAGGGTTTGTTGGTTTCGAGGCGACAGAATCTGTATTTGCATTTACTGGTGTTTGTGGAGAGACGGCATTGTTGTTGTTGTTGTTGTTGTTGTTATTATCGTTTGTCGAAGAGTCGCCTTCTGAGTTTGTTGCTGGTGCAGGGTTTTGGAGACTGACATGTGCCTCGAGCAGGTTGGCGCGCGCGGCGGTGTACTTGTCGTAGGAAGCTTGGATCTTTGCTGTTGCTGAGGCACGGTCGATTGCGGAATTGGTCGTGTCGGGCGCAGCGGCTGAAGCGCCGTTCCTGACTGGACGCTTGATGGGTGAGGCGTCTTCCAGGAAAATGCTTTCTTCCTCGAGCTTGGCCAGTTCCCCCTGAATCCAATCTACAAGTTCGTTTCTTGCTTGTTCGAGAGCATAGACTTGTGATTGGAGGGTTGCTGACGGGGCACTGGGTGTTGCGTCCTGTGCTTTTATTTTTGCGGCTTGAGCTCGCTCCATGCTTGCTCGTGCCTCGAGAACTTCTTGCTTCAGTTTGAAAATCGATACCTGGTCGTCTTCAGTCTGGGAGAGATTATCCAGACGCTCTGCAGGGACATCAGGCTGCTCGCCAATTGCGCGTTTGACTAGATCTCGAGGATCTGAGGAGGGCGTGGAAGGCTTTGCACTGAGGAGTTTTTCGAGAGATTCTTGGATGACCTGAAGCTCCGCATGCCGGCGACGTTGCCGCAGTAGAAAAACATAACCTTGGGTGACGTTGTCGTCGTGCTCGGGTTCCGGTTGGGTGGGATTGTCGTCCACGTGACGAGTCCGCAGCTGTTCTAGCGAAGCCTGGAGCTCATTGTGTTTTGCTTGTGCTTTGGCGCGAGCACGAAGCGCTTGAAGGTATTCAAGACGACTATCTTTCAGGCCAGGAGGATTTGTGTTGGCTGCGGACAGGTTCTGGGGACATTCGTGGTTCAGGTGCTGGAGTTGAGTTGATGCACTGACTGGCCGAAGGGTAGATGTCAAGTATTTTGACAGCGTACGTCGAATTCGTAGTGTATCTTGGCGAGAATTGACATAGGCGGACAATGCTCGGTCAACCTCTGAAATCGGGCACGCCGTCTGAGCTGGCATTGGACTCGAGTTTAGTCAAAGCGCCGTAGTGGGGATTGACGTAGTGGTGGAAATGACAGAGAAAGGGGAGAGTACTATCCGAGGGGGTTGTATGTGGCTGAGTGGCCACGACGGCAGCTTTGACCTGTGTCACGATGCTTTTGAACTTGGGTTTGCGGTATTAGGACAACGCAACGACTGGCGGTGGTTAGGCGGGTTGTGAGGCTAGGCCGCAATTGGCTGAGCGTGTCCCACTAGCGCAGATCACGAAAACACGTGCTTTGGGGCTTGGCGCATGTGCATAGAACCATTGCCTGAGCATTGATGGCGGGCAAAAGCATAAACGAAGAAAAAAAAGGCCCGAGTTTTGCTTTTTGGTGGGCGAACGCAGAGGGGGGAATGCAGCTGGGTGGGCAGAGTAAGTAAGGGTCGAGCTAGTCTTCCGGTGGTGCGGTTGCTTTGGCGTGTTCGCTCGTTATTACCAGGAGTGTACACGGTAAGTAAGTATTCACAAATGGGAGAGCTTTCGCTGTCACGCACTACAAGGGCACGTGTTGGGCCATGGAGCACCCTATGCGGACAAGATGGGCAGCAAGAGCTGAGGGCTGACTGTTGTTTTCTAGCACTACACCTAGGCAGGAAAGGCACCGGCGGATGTTCTCAGGGGATGTGATGCGCTTGACGCCGTTGTCACACAAGTGCCCGGCATCGAGTCAGCTATGCGCCATATGTACACAAGTATGAAGCCATGTGGCTGCGGTGTGGCTGCGATGAGGCTGCCTTCACCAGGGTGCTACTCCATCAACCTGTGACCGCGTATGTGTTACATGGAAGCGTGTTAGCGTAGATACAAGGAGACGATAGCGCGTGATGGCCATGGCCCATAAGCTAGACGTGTTTGCAGATGACAGCCCCACACGCGTAGGCTGGTAGAGATAACGCGGTACAGGGACATGTAAGTAAGTAAGAACCATGCCATGCATAGGGCAGGGTGTGATGTCAGACGTCGCTACCACCACCACCACCACCACCACCTCAGGCACGGCGAGGAATGAAATTGAAATTGGCAGCGGAAATGCGGCTTATGGGCAGGCGGAAGCAGAGAGAGAAGAGTGAGGTGAGTAGATACGAGACAGCGGCCCTTTGGACTCGGGAGCTAGTGTGATCAGCAGCAGACAATGTACAGCAGGGCCCGTGACAGGTTCGATGAGGCATTGCTCGGAATTGCTTTGCGTGTTGGAGGCTAGGATATGGCCGTCCGGGTCAATGAGGAGGGGGTCCCTTGGGAGGGGGGCGACGTGCTCTCAGACACGAGGCGGTGGATGATGCAAAAAGTGGACAACGCATCACACCGGGTGCACCAATTGCAGCGAGCAGCGAGGGCAGGCGGCGGGAAAAATTCGACGGCCGGGGGTTGGGTGTGCTGGCGACTAGCAGGTACAGCAGCAGCAGCAGAGCAGCGATGCGAAACAGAGGCACTGGTGGGCTGCAGGGCGAGCGGGCAAGAAGGAGAGGGATAGGATACAGCGGCCAGCGGCTTCTGGCAGGCCCGCTTGGCGCGACAGGGGGTGGGCAGTGAGGCAGCGAGGCATGGACACAGACACAGGCGGTGGGATGCCATGGCATAGGCCTGATGGGCGGTTTATTTCGCTAGGCCCCAAACGAGCATCAACTGCCCTGTCTCGCCTCTCTCCTTTCCCGCCCGCCACCCACCAGCGACCAGTGATACCAACAACCACCGCGGCGGCCAAAAGCAGTCGCGGACATCTTGCGCCCGCCCTCCCGCCCGCCGTTTTCTTTTTCATGCTACATTTCCACACACTGCGAGCCACCAAAAAGTAATCCGGTACCGACGCCAAATAGTTCAGGTCCCTGCGTCTGCACTGTACCGCATCGCACCGCACCGCCCCAGGCCGCGTCGCGCGCCGCCCTCAGTGATTATCTCCCGGGCAGGGGCTCAAAGTAAATACTCCGGCACACCACCCACCCTCACACCACCATAGAGGCCAGGCTGCCCGCCCATTCCTCACCATGCCTTTCTTCAAGAGTGTCTTTAGTTCAAAGGACAAGCAAAAGTCAAAGACGGCTCCCGAGCCCGCCGCTCCCCCCAAACCTCGCTGGGAAGAGTCATGGACGCGCAAAGAGGTGGCACCAGAAGAGATCCAGGAGCTCGTCCATGTCTGCACACAGGAAATGAAGTCGAGGGGTAAGTCGACGCTGCGAATTGGCTCCTGTCCGGCCCTGACTGACCCGCACTCCAGCTCTCGACATGCCCTTCATGCTCCTGCCCTTTCGCCCCACCTCAGACACAAGCGCCTCGCGCAACTTCATTCGCAACTTCTTCAAGGCCGCCTACGAAGAAACAGGCCAGTATTCGGGCGAGCAGCTGGCACAAGAATTGCGTCTGACCGCGCCCTTGGTACACTACCCCTCCACCTCCCTTGTCCCCTCCCCAAAGACAGTGCTCCGTACTGACAGATACAGACGCTCTGCAGTATTATCAAATGGTGCTGGAGCAGGCTCCCCGGCGGCGTAGTCACCTGGGACGCATATGAGCTTTTTCGCATCGGCGAGTCTGGTGAGTTCTTGAATAGAGCCTCCCCTTCTTCAACCTCCCCCCTCGCTTGCTAACTCGATGCATCCAGACTCAAACTTTGCCCGACATTCTTTCGACACGTTTATCCCCATGAGCGTCGAGTCCGAGTCACGCAAGAGCATAATCTTCGACTTCTTTGACCTATTGTCTTCTGTAGCTGCCCGAGGCAAGACTAATGGTATGGGTGGTAGAAAGCTTTCTCGTCTTGCAGGATGGTGGGCATTCGAGTTCCATGAAGACAACAAGGGTTTCGACGGAGGATACCGCACATGGGAGAAGTAAGTGCATAGGCTACACTGCACCCCTCAAACAAAAAGAATATACTGACTCGCCTCTAGGGCCGCGGATGCAGCAAGTCATCTCTTCTTCGCCTACCTGCGATCGCTTTCACCAGACACAAATGTCGTTGGAGCCATATCCGCTCTACCACGGTCCCTCCAAGCCCTACTCGCACAGACTGAATATCCTCCCCAGGTACCCACCCTGATGCAGACGCGCACGACCAAGGTAGTTATGATTGTAGACTCGGTCTCGCCTACACCATTTGCCCTGCTCCGCCGCGCAAAACACTTCGAGTACCGAGACGATGACCGCGCCTTGCAGAAGTTTTCAGAGTATGAGGATACAGTCAAGGCCCTGACTGATGAGTGTCGCAGAGTGCTCGAGTGCATTTCAACCGCCAACCAGTCTAACGTAGCAAGTTTGACAGATCCCACTACACCAGACCCCTCGTGGTCCCGCTTTGAAGATTTTGGATTCGCTGGCATCTTGGATAATCCCGACACTTCCAACGGATCGTCGCTAGGTGGCGGTCCGAGCGACTTTTCCACCTTTGGGCCTGCTGCACGCACAAAGAATGCCGACTTTGGTCGCCCTACGACTCCTTCTTGGGCAGATTTCCTGTCCTCTGGGTTCGCAGACGAGAACAACAAATCTCCACCAACCACTCTCCTGATGCCGAACCAGAAGCTCCCACCCCTAGGTGAGCATCGTGTGCACAGCTCGCAATCCCACATGCGCAACGGCCTCAAGGAAGACGACCTTGATCCTGGTGAATTGGCTAGTATCACCAAATTCGAACTCGACGAAACATTTTGGTGGGTGTGGATGATCAGTCTAGCTTCGGAAGAGACCGCGGATCGCAAGGCCGCTTTCGGTCGATGCACATTGATCGAGACACGCATTCAGGGCGCAAAGTGGCTAGTCATGGAAGAGCAGGTCAAGGGCGCTTCAGATGGTCCTGAGGAAGGCGCGTACATTGTGGAGAAGAAATCAAAGTTCAGTTTCACAAAACGTGGGCGACTTGGTCGGCGCAAGTCAACCGGCAAGAAGCCATCTCTAAAGGATCCCTATAACCGCTCTACCAACGATACTCCCATGAGCAAGACTAGCATCGGACCAGACCAGCACGCGAGAATACAGGCTGCAGCTGCAAAGTTGGCCCAAGGTGAGCGAGACGAGAAGGATGCAAGGGACCTCGCCCAGCGTCGAGGACGCCATGATGACACCACATCCGTCAAGACAAACAGTGTACTGACCCTACAGCCACACCTGGTCAACGAGGCTGGCCCAGCTATGAAATGGGACAAGAAATTTGGCGAGGCTGCACTTGATCGTGATGCCCTCCGTGCACAGTACCTGGGTGATACTAGTGCTGGTAAGGGGTCAAAGAACAACTTGCACTTGACTGCCAATGGGCGCACATCACCGATGCCCTCGAATGCGTCGAACCGCGAACTGCCTCCTCTACCAAAATCAGAGAAGGATCCTGACGAATCCGTCACGCCAGTGCCTTGGCCAGACTCGCCTATTCAGTCGCCCCGCGCTCCGGTCAAGTCATACCAAACATCATCTGCTCCGGAGAAGACGCTGTCTCCCGAAGAGACGCCTCTTCCTGACGACAAGTCTGCGCAGGTATCTACGACTCCCAGCCAGCATCCTGCTCTGAGGAAAGCAGTAGCCTCCCAGCCCAAAGATCGCGTCAGTGAGGACAAGGGAACCGTGCCTGAAAAGAAGCACTCGCCGGCCAAGCTCAAGAAGAAGGAAGGAGGCTTCCGAAAGCTGTTTGGTAGGAAGAAGACGGATACACCAGCAGCTGGTCAGTCCGCGGATGATTCTTACTTCCCACCGGATGCCGTCCGAAGCGAGTCTCGAGTTGATGACCGCCAAGCCAGCGCACGAGTGCCGTCTCCAACATACACTGATGAACAGCCCGAGCCTGTACGGGCTCCGTCTCCAAAGTTTGATCCTAGCCCTGCCGATTCGTCTACCGGCATACCAGAGCCCAACTCATCTGCTGAACCTATCCCTGGTGGCCCCGCCACTCAGCAAGAGATTGACAATGCCTTCTCTCGATTCGACCAGGGCCCAATGGAGGAGATGCCTGCTTTCGTTCCTGATGATAGCGATGAAGATGGCGCTGTGGCTCCATCTGTGCCCCGACGACCAGTTCAACAGGCCAACCCAAGGACACCAACTCAACGTGAACCGCATGAGGCGGACGATGTCTCGGAGGAGTCTGTGGAATTTGCCAAGCAGCAGTCACCATCGCACGACCGATGGGCGCAGATCCGGAAGAATGCGGCGGACCGTGCAGCTAGATTGAGCGAGGAGCAGGTTCGCCGTAGCCGAAGCCAGAGCCAGAGCCAGCGGACTGACGAAGGCGAGACAAGCGGCGAGGAGACGATTGAGAGCCGTGTTGCGCGCATCAAGGCACGCGTAGCTGAGCTGACTGGCAACGTCGACGGCCAGCCAGTTGCAGCTGGGCCTGGCGCGGGCAGACAGTGGTAGATTGTGCAGTGGTAAGGGCAAAGCTTCTTCCTGTTGGCTTTTTTGCGAGGATTGTGGGAACTAACACGAAAGAGCAGATTCCTTGCAGCATTACAAGACCGCCCCCGTCTGATTTCCAAGCGTACCAAAGAAGCTCGATACCCTTTTTTTTTACCGATTTTGCGGCTGTTTTCCCTCAGTTATATCTCTCTCTGGTTCTTTTTTTACGACAATTGGCACCAAACTTACTGTTCCCTGCCGCTCTCTCTCTCTCTCCGTGTGTGTGTTATTCCCAACAGGCTGTAGGAATCATCTATTAAACAAGCTCAAACATTGAGACGATATGCTGGAGAGTAGCGTTTAGTTGTTTGTTTTGTTCTCGGTCTTCTTTTTCTTCTTCTCTCTCCTTTTCTTCTTCTTTGTTTGTTAAAGATACCTTGGGAGGAATGTACATTGGTGTCCATGTACATATGTTCTAGTGTTCTCTCCCTCTTTCGCTCTTTTCCACCTCTGCGTCGTCGTCGTGTATGTGGTGATTGCGTTTGTGTGGGAAGGGGGGGGGGAGGAAGGGAGGAAGGGGAATAAGGTGTGATGGTCGGAGGTGTGGAGAGGAGGGGAGTGGAGCGGAGAAAGAGGAATTTTAATGCAGATGCGAGATTGTGTTTTGTGCGTGCGTGCGTGCGTATGCATGGGTTATATTTTGTTTGAGTTTTTTTCTTTGCTGTTCAAGTGAAGTGGGGGGGTCTCATGGTGCTGTGAGGAGCGAGGAGGTTTATGCTGCGTGTGGAGTGTGTGCGTGTGTATGTGTGTTTTAGTCTTGGGTGAATTGTGATTTTCAAGCTTGATAATATTTTGCAAAGTTACACAAGTATACTTCTCACTTGTCCCATATTCTCTCCTTTTGCTAATCATCTGGCCAATGATTTTTTTGACCTCTTCCCTCTTTTCATTTCCCCTCCGCCCCCCCCCCCCTTAAGACATGTGGGCTCATACTATAGCCTCGTACGATATAACATGTCAAATTTCCAGCCGCGAAAAGAAAAAACATAATAATGGTTCGTTTGTTGTAAGAAGGCAGACGTGTAATATTGTTGGGTAATTTCCAGACAATTAAGTCAGCGATAATGTCGTAGGTATATACGAATACGAAACTTAACCCTCGTTGAAGGGATAATATGGTGTCATGGCATTCCAGCATTGCCGCCCCCTGGTCTTTTGTTGGTTTCTTGTTGGCCGTATATATTTTTTTGTATGAACATGAGATGCAACACCGGATGCATACGGGTGTGTTGCTAAGAAAACGGGAGTGGGAGAGAGAAGGGACGAAAAAAAGGATACGAGGTGCAAACTGGGGTTTCAGGTAGAGTGTGGCGTTGGACGGTAGGTGAAGTAGTGCTATAAGAAGCAGTGTTAAGATGGAGTAAGCGCCGATGGAGAAAGCGTGGAGTGATGATACTGGAAGTGGTGGATATTGTTGTTGGTGTTGCTGTCAAGAAAAGAAGAGACACAATTAATTCTGCAGGTTGCATGTGGCATGGGGTTCCCAGGAATAGCAGTTTGCCCGCAAGGTGGTTGATCCAGTATGTAGCTTGCGCGGTTAAGCATGAAGCTGTGATGGGCATGGGGGTGTTTTTCGGATCGGGCCCTTTGGTGGCGTGGAATACCATGATGTGTGCGCGTGTGTACCTGCATATGATGTGCCGTTGGCCAGTAGGGAAATAGGGAGAAAGTTGGTAGGGGAGCATGTGTGACTAAGAATAGAAGGCGAGAAGGGTACCTGCACTTGAGATGCGTGGGATCGCTTTTGTTAAAGGTGACCATGCTGGATGCCTGGGAGCGATATCAGGACGCCAGCTGCTTCAATTAGAAGCATTAGACGACTGCATCGATACGGCGCAGGTGCTGTTCGTACAGGCGGATCTTGTCTAATCACGGACTACGGCCCCGCAGGCGGGGTAAGTATACGAACGGGGAAAGCAGAAGCTAGCAGAATCAAAGCGAAGACAATACGAAGGAAGCGGACGGGCGGCTATGCAGGTGAGATGAGTAATGACAACTGGGGGAACGAGAGGGGTCTGCTGGGCAGAGAAGCAGAAGCCGAAGCCATGGAGGACAAGAGAGGGTCGAAGGGTGGGTTGATGGGTCAAGTTTGGGTGAGGCAGTTGCGGTCGAGGTGCGTCATTGGAGTGGGTTTTGGGACATGTGCATGCACCATGCTAAAAATATCGCGTTTCGGGGCGCGATGCGCGCTAGGAAGCGCGGTGCTGCGAGCCCTAATCCAACATCACAGCTACGTGGGCTGGGCAAGATGGGTTAACAGACGTGCTTGTTTGGGCGTGATGTCACGATGCAGGCGCGGCGTGCACAAACGTCTTCATGTCGCAGAGAGGGATAAGTAGGCAAGCCAGTAGTGACGAGGGCAATGCGGCTCTGTGTGTGAGGAGCAGTGCCGCACAAGGGCGGATAGGTCAGTGGTCAGTGGCCAGTGGCCAGTGGCCAGTGGTATTATGAAGGGTGAGGAATTAGGCCGCAGTTTCAGATGGGGGAATTCCCCGCCTCCGACGGCGACGGGAACTGCTAGAGATGGCATGCTTCGCCATGTGTTGCAATTGAGACGTGGCTTGGCAAAGGACGCAATGCAGCAGCGCGCTCTGGGCCTGGTGATTTCAGGATGTGTTGCACGGGTCGAGGCAGACATGGGCGACATGGGGGACATGGGGTGAGGGGAATATGGGAGCATGGGGGGGCCAGTGTGCAGGCACAAGCACAAGCGCCGAGGGAGCTGTGATGGATCTGACAGCCCGGCAGGCAGGCAGGCAGTCGGTCAGGCAGGCAGTCTCTGCTGCAGTCTCAGTCGAGGGCTCGCGACAAGTTGTAGTTAGTACTTAGTACAGTGCTGCGATACATATGTCCTTAAAATAACTCTGGAGGGCTAGAGGGCGAGGGCGGAAGATTGACACAGCGGCGGCGCGGCCAATGGGGATTTGGGTCGTGGGTGGGCCGGCCGGGCCAAAGCAGGCAAATAGGCCGTAAGCGGGCATATTAGCGACAGCATGGCCTGGTGAGCGCAGACGCCAGGCTTCTAAATATAGGGGCGCCCGCCCGCTCCATCGTCGCTTTCTCCAAACCACATTTCGCCCAGCCCAGAGCCTCAGCAACACCGCGCCTACATACTGCTGCAACTCCCCCATCCACCCCCCTCTGCGCTGACCCCCCAGCCCATATAGCCCTCGGGTCGCCGAGACGATCCGCCTCGCCCACCGCGCCGACTTTGCCCGCCCGCCCGCCCTCTGCTGCTGAAACACTGGCCGTGAGCGTGCCGCGCAAGCTACTAGTACCACCTCGATTCTTTGGTGCTCCACGACCCTTTGCTAGCACACCTCCCCGTCGCTCCATGCGCTTTGACGTCTAGCATCCTCCATCCACCATGGGCCGTAGAAAGATCGAGATCAAGGCCATCAAGGACGACCGCAACCGCTCTGTGTAAGTCGACTCCAGCCCCATTTCCTTAACCCCCATCCGCTACCATCGCGCCCCATCGCGCCCATTGCTATCCGCGCAGAGCTGACCACCTACAGCACCTTCCTCAAGCGCAAGGGCGGCCTGTTCAAAAAAGCCCACGAGCTTTCCGTCCTCTGCTCCGTCGACGTGGCCGTCATCATTTTTGGCCACAACAAGAAGCTGTACGAGTTCTCATCGGGCGACATCAACGAGACCATTGGCCGTTACCAATACGTAGGCATTCCCCCATTGGCCCCGGATAGAGAGTCGCGCTAAAACGGCATGGAACTGACAGGTTACCCAGTATGGCGGCGCACACGAGCACAAGGGCCCCGAGGACTTCATGGGAAAGAAGGACGGCGACGACGATGATGATGACGACGAAGACGCCCCCCTTCCCCAAGACTCGCATACGCCCCCTGACCACCCCATGATGCCCCATCATATGCAGCATTCGCAGTTCCAGCACATCCGACACGCTGCCCCCTCCATGTCGCCTCCCATTGGAAACGGCGCCTTTCAGCAACGCGGTCCCTCGCCCCAGCCTCCCCACCATCTGTCGCGACCCAACTCAAGGGTCGGACACATACGCCGCCCTAGTTCAAACCTCGCTCCGCCCCAGCCCTACCCTTCGCAAACCCCAGCGCCTCCCAACAATTACGCCTACATGCCAAACCCCCCCTTCTACAACCCGCAGCCAGCTCCGCAGATGGCCCCGAAGCCCCAACCTACTCCGCCAGCCTCTCAGTATCAATTCCCGCACCCGATGCCCGCGCACCCCCAGGTTCAGTACATGCAACAAGAGCAACAACGCCGCCAGTCTATGCCACCCACCTTCCAGCAGCAACAGCAAGATCAACAGGCGCAAGCGCAGGCTCAGGCTCAGGCTCAGGCACAAGCACAGGCTCAGGCTCAGGCGCAAGTGCAGGCACAACAACAACAACAACAGCAGCAGCAGCAGCAGCAACAACAACCCCCGCCACCTCCACCCCCTCAGCTCCCGCAGCCACAGCAGGAACGCCCAGAACAACCTACTATCATTGTCCCATCTCCGCCTCAACAAAACAACTTTCAGAGCCCACCTCTTCCCCAGCCGAAACCCCTGCATGCATCTGCCAGACACAGTATTTTCACTCCGATCGACGACAGCCAGTCTATGCTAGCAGCGCATTGGGGCAGTAGCAGCAACAGCAACGCCAACGCACAACGTAACGAAGCCCTGTTTAACAAGCAGGAAAATCGAGCCCAGTCTATTGATGTTGCTACCATACACCGACCGCAGCCAGATGGAGAGGCAAAACCTCAGCCGCAGCCCCCGCAAGCCCAGCCACCACCGCAGCGAACGCAGTCTACATCTTCAGTGCCCATTATCCCCCCACCATCTCGCACAAACAGCCTACGCATGGGTGAGAGTAAACCAAGATTAAGGGTGCAAATTCCAAGTGAACACTCGGATGCTGGCAGCGCAACTGCCGACTCATCACCCAAGGATTCTGGCACAACTGGCGCAACACCAGGACGAAGTACCGACGCATCGCACTCTTCAGGTGTTGTCCTTCCTCCGCCTTCGCCGAGCGCCAATTCGTTGCTCAGTGCTGGTGCAACAGGTCCACCAAACCCATTCGCTCGTCCCCCACCACCGTCAAATAGCAACTCGTACGGGAGAAGCAACGACATGGAAACGCCAATCTCGGCACTTCCTAGCCGATTTGTGGAGAATGGCCTTCTTCCTTCTCCATCAAGCTTTTACCCTGAATGGGGTTTTGGCCGCGATTCCAACATGCTGCCGAGTCCCTTGACTTTTCAAACTCCAGTAGCTCCAAACGGCCCTAGCTTTGCGCGAGATGACTCTGCGGAGCGTAAGCGAAAGACATCGGATCAAGGGTCGGATGACGGCAACCAGAAGCGGGTCAAGACGTGATGTGAGCAACGAGTGCGGAACCTTTTTTTTTCCTTTCTATGCCCGGCCACTTTGTCCCGGTCGTCTGTAATTGTACAAGCGTATCTTGTTCGACCAGGCTGTTTCTTTCTTTTGCTTTTGATTTTGGGCAAGCTAGCCATGCTCGATGCATGCACCCCACATATTACTGGTATCCTGTTTGTTGTTGATCTTTTGGGTGCAGGGGCGTTGGATACCCACGGCAGCTGTTGTTGTTGTTATTGTCTGCTATTCAATATCTCTTTTTACAATTTGATGACTGCGGGCTGGTATTTTCTACACACGCTAGCAATAGCATGACGAACGATGAGTTGAGCAAGGTCAAAACTGTTTCTTCTTTGTACATACATAGTAATACAAATGACATGTTGGCCGAGTTTCTAGAAGCACCGAATCAACACTATGCAGGAAAGTGGCGCGGCGAAAGACCAGCTCGTATCAGGCCAAAAGGCCAACGAGTGCAGTGATTGGATGACTTGAATCGCTGACTGAAGTTCTTCTCGCGTGTGATGGTGAAGGTGGGCACGCAGCGTCATAGGGCCAAGCCGGTGCCCCGCCACGCTTGCCGCTGCGGCTGCGCCTCTACCCAAGGCACCCTCGCTGTAGCTGCCAGCCGCAAATGGGCTGTGAAGGAACCCAAGATTGGGCTTTGACTGTTTGAATCTGCATAGTTTCTTTGACGGCGTCCTTGTCGACTGGCGCGTCCCCTTGCTGGCATCTTCCTCGCAACCGAACTTTCCCCCCTGTCCACCTGACGGCTGTTTGCGATCGCCGAGCACCTGAAGCTTGGTGTCACATTCATATATCAGCCCTCGGTCTTGCCAACAACTTGCTTCACCCCTCCAAAAGCCCACAACCAATTCAATCCCAACATGGCATATAACAAAGGCTTCAACCCAGACAGGCTGCCTATGCACGCTGAGCCCGAACAGGTGCGTCTTTTTCCAACTTGCAATACTACTACAGGTGCAAAACTGACGTAGCTCAGGCTGCCGCTATGATGTCGCAAAACGCTACCACGGCCTCACGCCCACCACGCACAAGCTCTGCGCGTCCCGACTACAACAAACCTCCCCCACCTGTTCCCAGCCAGCGATACGATACCCGTCCAGACGACCGCTATGGCGGAGGGGGTGGTCGTGGTGCAGGAGGAGGTGGAGGAGGATATGACAGCAGACCTCCGCCAGGCGCATACAACGATGCGCGCTATGACAGCCGTTACGATTCAAGACAAGACAACAGAATGGGTCTTGGATCGCCTCCACCAGCAAACTATGGTCATGGACCGCCACCACAGGGCTATCATGGAAGACCTCAGCTTGCGCAGCAGTCAAGACCCCCACCAACGCCAGCGCCCGCCCCGCCAAGAGATGGAAATGATCGCGAGGCCCTGTGGAGACTGTTTGGCGCCGTGGACAAAGACAGTATGCCATTTCTGCCTTTGGTCAAACTGACAAGTAACTAACCGTTGTGACAGGAAGTGGTGAGCTTACAGAAGCTGAGCTCCGAACTGCCCTTGTAAATGGTGACTGGACGCCTTTCGATCCGCATACTGTACGCATGATGATTCGAATGTTTGACACCAATAAATCTGGCACAGTCAACTTTGACGAGTTTTGGTATGCCATTCATTTCCTCACTCTCTCCACCTTCAAGACAAGATTCACATACTTATGATTTCTTTTTTCACTTGTACAGTGGCCTCTGGGGTTTCCTCTCGGCCTGGCGCGCTCTTTTCGACCGATTCGACCAGGACCATAGCGGTAGCATATCATATGCTGAATTCAACGAAGCCCTGATCGCATTTGGATACCGCCTTTCTCAGCAATTCGTTACTCTGCTCTACCGCACATATGACCGCGACGGCCGCAATGCACTCAGTTTCGACTTGTTCGTCCAGGCATGTATTAGTCTGAAGAGAATGACGGATGTGTTTAAGAAATACGATGAAGATCGCGATGGATATATCACGCTGAGCTTGTAAGTGGAACTCGGTTTGGGAGAGGCAACCCCCCTTCTGTTCATTGCTTCTGTGAATACGTTTTGCTAACGAGTACATTTTCTGTGTCTGCAGTGAGGAATTTCTCACAGGTGCGCAAGCTTTGTTCCTCTTCAACTCGATTTCGGCCTCCACTGATACCGGTCTTTACTAGAAATCATCCGCCAGCGATGAGCTAGCGCCACAGGATCAAACACGCGACTCGAAGATCGCGCACACCTACTCTATATGAAACATGGTCGCTCATATCTATGGCCTAAGCACTGGCTTTGCATGGGATCTGACACGATGATCTATACGTACCCTCGGTAATTTTGGGCTCGGCAGAGAAATGGATATACGTAGGATTGCTGTTGGTTTAGCTTGGGAGAGAGAGAAGAGCGAGGGAAGTGATATCTTAATGAGTATATAGCAAACGCATGTAGTAGTAGTAGTAGTAGTAGTAGTAGTAGTAGTATGCTGAGAGATATCTGGGGGTGGGCATCTGTAGTTGTGGTGTTGGTTGGGTGGGCGAATCTCCCTTATTTTCTCCACATCAGAGAGCAGACCCCGCTGCTAATGGTAAATGAATTTAGATACCCGTTTAGTTCTCTTTTTTTTCTTCATCTTACTAGCCTTGCGTTGAATGAGTTATTCTGAATACAACCTTCTCACTTAGTAAGCTTCTTATGCCATACACATATTCGTGAAATAACATCTGAGGCGGAAGAAGCGGACACCAAAACAGCAGTCAGTCTAAGCTCGAAGATAATGCGCCCACGCACTGTCATTTTGCGAACCTCAACACCGACTCGATACATGTGCTCTGCCTCACTCTGAATCGTGACATCTTCATAGTCACTTTGCGAGGCGTTATGAAGGAGACTGGAGAAGAACATGAGTCTGTCACTCCCCGAAAACGTCTCGCCCTTCATTACGACAGCGTTACTGTTCTTATGGCATAAGAAAACGGTGAATTTAGAGAAAGAAGGATCGTATATATTTTCAAAGCTCAGCTCAGTCAGGGGACTGAACATTTCATCGCTTTTGGTCCTAAGGATCATTTCGTCTGGATACCATGTCGAGATCTGCTTGATAAGACTTCTTTCCCACCGACATTCGTTCCAATGTGTTGGCTTTATGAGTTGATATCCCATTTCCCACAAAGTTGCTGATTTCTCCACGACAATCTCTGTATGGCTCGGCAAGTCTTGGAGCACGTGGTAACGCCTTGGGAATTTTTGCATGGTGATTGTTCGATCATGTGTCCTTAAAGCATCTCTTGCGCTCAAAATGACCGTACTATAGTAACCCGTATTGTCTCGAGCCAGAGTACGGGTTGTTTCTGCTGCGGATTCTTGGTTGGGTCCGACTGCAGTAATGAAAATGCCCACGAAATGCCCTTCTTCACCCACTGAGCAGCTGAGCAGTCCAACAAATTTCGAAAAGAGTATGAGATTTCCCCTGAATATCTCTTGGGATATGAACAGAAGTGGTAATTGTATGTTTAAACCTAGGCTTGTTAGAGTAATTGGAAAGACGGGGTTTTCGGCGCGTTTCAAATCGCCACAACTGGTGAAGTCCTTAGGCGACTTTGCCAGTATATTTTGACCAATGTTGTCGTATGATGTTGCAACCCTCAAAACATCTAATATGGGTTCTGTGTAACCTTTGATGTCAAGCCGCGGTTCCCAAGCAAGTATTGAATCGTCATTCACTCTTTGAATGATCTCTTCTTGCAGGCGATGAAAGGCCCGGTCACCTTCTCCGTACAGCAGCGGCATGTTAATGTTGAAAATCCCCAACAGACAGTAAGTCATGTCTTCTGTACGGGTCGTATCTCTTTGTGAGGCCCAGGACATTCTCTTCGCGACGCAGTGAGCACCGAACGGATCGCCATTATCATAATTCCTGGCACTTCTCCCCCTCAAAGCGTCCACATCTATTCCCGTTATTCCGGATATCAACTCTGAATGGTCAGACCTTCGGCCTAACCGGTGCCAGTTGCAGTTGTAGAAGATAACGTCTATTGGTGCCAGGAGTTCTTGTAGCGTCCAGCATCTGGTAAACCATCTACTTGTGCGAAACTGTTCGTCCATCCCTTCTTCCAGGACATCTGAGAGATATGCATAGCAACGGCGTGCGACCCTGTACCAAGCAAACATGGAGTTGATAGCCTCGGACAGCTCTGAACTAGATCTGTTATCAATGCAACAAGTATCAACCCATGCATACTCGAGATTATCAGAGATTGCTTGCTTACAGGTAAACTCAATCTTCTGGTATCCCGCTCGGGCTTGCGTCGCCGGTGTATAGAGAGGTAGGTCAAGGAATGTCACCTCGTCATTGCCCCAGGTGTGCGATAGGATTGCGTAAGGCGGAATGTTGCTGCCGAAAAACTCTTCGAGTTCAAGCGTTAAGCAGTTTATGAGGCGCATTGTAGAAATCTGTTATGATTGTTGAAGCTCTGAGTGTGACACAAGGCAACAGCGGCGGGGTGTTCGTAAAGAAGAAAGGCTGGAAGGCTGGAAGGCTTGCTCGGCTAGCTCTAGCTTAGTAATGAACATCTTTACATTGTGAACACTAGCATATGTGTAGGAGACTTGACTAACATCGACGAGATTTTCTGCTCTTTGTATGCTACGTTCCCTAGTGCAGCAGGTTTAGGGCCTGCTCTATTCACTAGTTAAGATATAGCTTTACTTTCTATTTCCTCGACCTCTCATTTTTACGTCATAGTTGTGCTTGTAATCTTGAATACCTGCATTGTACAAGATGATTAATTATGTGTTGAAACAGTGCTGTAGGTGGAGGCACTAGTTTTACAATCCTTGTTTCTATCTGCTCCCATACGCTCATCTTGCATTCTGCATCACTCATGATACGAAAATAGGGTTTAATAAATCAAATTCTACTTGAGTTTCCACCAAATCATCTGCAATGCAATCTGGTATCCGGGAGGTGGGTATATAACAAACAAGACAAACAAAGGAAAGGGGTTACAGCTCATCCAATCGGTCGTTAAACATACTCGCATATCTCGGTAGCCGTACACACGTTCATTTTGATTCTCCAAATCCAGGCGATTGTTTCACCCAATAAGCTCTGTGTGCGTTGTGGTGTTTTTTGATAGGGGGGTATTCCTAGATGACCGACTTCCTGGGGGTGCGCGAACGGCGCTCGCTCCGGCCAAAGCAGAGGGCTGCGAACCAGGCAAGGACAGCAAGGAGCATGAGCCCAGTTGCAGCCCATGTCAATGCGAGAAACTTGCCACCATAGTGCGATTCAAGGCCGATTTGGTTTCCGTGTTCGTTAATGACGTCGGTACCCTTGATCATGACGGCGGTGACGAGGCCACTAGCGATGCCAACGGCCAAAAACGCGAGGAGACTAAGGCCGATGTTTAGGCATGCGCTCAGTCTTCCTGAGGTGAGGATGCCAACCAGGCTGGCGACGAGAGTCAAGAAGATGAGACAGATTGCGATGACATAGAGAACGAACATGGCTGCCATGACAGCATTCAAGGCATCGATGCCATTCTGAATATCATCTGGCCACTGGAGGTCCTGTAGGGTGATGTCTATGCCCGACCTGTTCAGGGCTCTCTGGATGATGTCGGTTGGATTGAACTTGTACATAGCCTTGTTCTTGGAGCATTCGGTAACATTTTTGCTAATATCATCTTGCTTCAGGGTCGCATTAGCCACCTCGCCGGGTGTGTATTGTCCCTCGCAATAGTTCAGCATGTGTGCTGAGTACCAGTCCTCGATGCCAGCGCGCTCGCGCAACGCGTCTATCCTCTCATTGATCTCATCGGTGACGGTATCGGTGATGGAATCTGGAATGAGATTGATGATGTTGGATATGGTGGAGTCGGAGTTTGAGGCTCTGTCGACGAGATTTTGTCCAATGGCCGAGGTGTTGAGTGTGAGGAGCGAGTAGTCTTCCATGAACCCCTTCTTATGGCCGGCAAAGAGGCAGAGGAATGAAAGAATCAGGGCTGCAGTGCAGCATAAGACGGGGAGAAGCGCGAGGAAGCGCATGGTTGTGACTTGTCTACTGGTGTATTGCAGTGACGATTAGTGCTAGTGAGCGACAGTGTTGAAAGAGCAGTTAGACAAGGGCGGCGTGGGGACACGCAGGTAAGAGCGACTGAAGGGCTTTGTTGTCCACAAACGGCGGCGAAAGGCACAAAGTACACTTATAGGCGGCATGCCAACCCAAAGCCTGGAATGCGACGACAATGAGTCTGGGACCCGCACGTCACTGGCGCAGGGTCTCATCGTGGAAGCAGCCGAGTAAGCAGCCAGTCAAATAGCGGCTCAGCCTCACGATCAACGTCTTGGGCGACGGATCTGGCTGTTTTTAGCACACCGACACGACGTTGACGTGTTGCTGGGCGATTGTTGTTGCGGCCCTGCACGGATGACGTAACCAGTACCGCTAAGCGAGGCTGTTAAGCAGGGGTAGGAAGCAGGAATGACTGACAGGACCAGGTGCAACTTGACCGGTTGGGCGACAAAGGAGCGAGGAAGAAAAACACTCCCCCTCACCGCGATACCACGCCGGTGCGGGCAGGTCTTGTAGCGCCAATGAATGCGCCACGTTGAGGTGGGCTGCACAGCCGCTCTGGTGTGTATGCGTACGTATGCCTATGTGCACCTGCGAGTCGGCCGGTCTGCCGCGCCACGAACACTACCCAGATGGAACGTGAAGAACGTGTTAGTGCGCAGCACTAGGCACCAGGTGAAATCTTTTTGCAGACTAGTATTTCGTCTATGGGTTTTGCTACTTGAGTCTATTGCTGCTTGGCCCCTAGTATGTATGTGCTATTTGTGGAGCATCGTCTATCGTGCCAAACATCCATGTCGTTCTTCTTGACGTGTAATGATACCAAGTGTGGATGAAGGGTCAAGGGACTGTGTACCGCGCATGGCGGTTGGGGGTGCGGAATCGGGGGACCGCCGGCTCGGCACTAGCCGCGTCTTACGAGGGAGACTTTTTTGGGTGTTTTGGTGGTTGTGGGCATGTTGCTGACGACGACGAAGAAGAAGATGCGCGGGCGCTGATTCCGTCTGTAAACGGCGAGTATGGCGCGGCTACTGAATGGGGCGGTGCGCGGTGTCCCGCCTTTGTGCGTGGAGGCTCTGCCGAACCCGGCCACCTCTTTTGCTCTTGGTGCATCTTGTCAAGTGGTTCGCCGACAATGTGGTACTTGTCCCAGTTGATGGGGGGACATCGCACAACGTTTTGCGGCTGTGGGATGGGAGGGAAGCTTGGGGCGCTGGACTCTGTGTCCATGCGTGTCGAATGCTTGCGGGCGTCTGGATCGGTGGCGTCGTGGTCATGGCCCAGGCCAGAGAGGGTGGGCGTGAGCATGTCCTGATACGAATGCGACTGCTGTGCTCGCTGCTCTTGGAGCGAGCGGGCAAAAGCTTCGGGGTCGGCTATGGCGGCGGCCTTGAGGTCCTCGAGGGCCTTGAGGTCGCGCTTGCTCTTCTCGCGCTGCAGCTGCAGGAGCGATATGGCGGAGCGCAGGGCAATGGCATCGGGGTTGTCGGTCTCTGAGATGGCGACCGAGGGCGGCTGCGGTGTGAAGGTGGCCGTGGGCGGAGGGGCAGGGCGGGGTCGAGGTTCGCTGCGCTCCACCGGGGCTAGCTGGGCAACAGTGGCCGTGGGCGTCAGAGGCGACACGGGGGGGCGGTCTGGGGTGGGAGATTTGGAGCGGTTGGCCGAGTGGTGGGAGCGCGTCGAGGCATCGCTGGACGAGGCCGGGCGCGTGCTTGTGTCGACCAGGAGCGCTGGCATGGCGGCGTGGAGGGAGAAGGACTCAGACTCCTGGCACTGCGGCCGGAGCGTGCTGAAGGTCAGAGCGCCTGTGTCTGGGCCTAGTGTATGTAGGTGCGTTTGTGCTAAATCTCCGAGAGATGTGGATGCTTCCACTTGTACTTTCACTTTCGTCGCGTGCGTGCGTGTGTGCGGGCGGGCGGCGGCGGCGGCGATGATTAGACGCAAACGCAAACGCAAACGCAGTGTCGACTCGAGGCCCGACTGCCCATGGTACTTGTGATCTGCTGTGCGGGCTTGTATTGCGCCAGACTGCCCATCACACGTAGAGTACTTACACGTCTTGGCCGTCTGCTGCGCTGTTCACGGATCGCTCTGAGGAAGCCGTCGGGGCCAGTGGGCGGGGCAGAATTTGCTGTGCCTGTGCCTGTGGCCAAGGGTCGGGTGTATTGGGTGTACTGTATGGGTGTGGGTGCACCCAAGCACGAGGCGATCTCGTCTATCGTGCTCGTCCTTAGCCCCAAGTACTTGCCTTTGCAGCACGCCATCTCGTTCCGTCTCCTGTCGAGCAGTAGGGTAGTGTACCCGGCACCGGTGCGTCCATGTTAACCCAGGGCACAAGCTATCTGCACCTACTACTAGCCATGGTATGCATCGACGCCGCCATAAAGTGACGTGCACCCGCGGTGCTGTATACGAGACGAGATGAAATTCAGTCCATCAGTACTTAGGCCTGGACCGTGCATGCACCGTTGCAAGCCCCGAACGCAGGTTGCTTCGCGTGTTCCCAGCATCTGCAGACGACTCTGTCATGTCCATGGCCTTGATCGTGTCGTCTGACGCCAGGCCGAATGAATTGCGGGTTGCTTGTCGCTCAGCCGACATTCGCGGCCCGGGGTGTTGGCAGGGCCTAGCGAGAGACGGAACAAGCACAAGACTGGCAAGCACCAGCACCAGAGAAGGCGTCCGGGGCTGGATCCAACTGAGTATGAGAGAAGCTTTTGCAGCTGGCGCCCACTCGGAGCCATCGTGTCAAGGTTTGCGAATGACGAGCTGCGAGCAAAAAGCCACAGGAAAAATTACCTGTTAGGCCGACCAATGGCCGGGGCTGGAGGGTGGACAGGACTAGTAAGGAGATGGAGAGTACTCCGGATTGTATACTTTGACTAAGTATAGTAAGCATGTACACAGTATGTGTGTGCTTGCACATGGACCCGAGTACTCAGATCCATTCACACCCAGGTAGGTAGTATGCAGTCTCGATGTATACATGGCTGAAGGGAAAAAGGCCGGTCTTGTCCCTGCCCCCACCCCCACCCCCCCTATCGCCAACCCGCCAGCCCGCCAGTCGTACTTGCCTGCTCTCCATCAAGTGCCTGCCTCTTGTTCCCACCGCGGGTCCCACGACTGCTCCAATGTCTCCACACGCCTTCATAACTTGCACAATGCCACTACCCACCCTCTCCTATCCTCCAGCCCCCGACTCGCAACCATCTGCTGTCTACACACTCGACTACCGGCGCCTGTGTGACATGCGCCCCGCCCATGAAACAGCCTACCAATTAAACGCCGCCCGCTTTGGCTCCACTCACCGCTAAGCCCTGCATGGACGCCGTACCGAAATCACAGTCGTTAGCCATGCCCCCGGCGCGCATACCCACGCTGAGGTACAGAAACCCGTTGCCGTCCGCCAGCCTTCCAGAGTCTTTCCATGGCTCTGGGCCCCACCCTGCCTATTCTACTCAAGAGCCGTCCGTCGCCCCGGATCCAAACTTCAACCTGCCATCTGCATCCACTCTCGCTCACTCTCCCTCCCAGCTCGCCCCCGTGACGTCATCCAGTCTGGCTTCCCTACACTCGAGCACCTCTTCTGGAAATGACTCCAAGTCATCATCCAAAAAGAAGAAGAAGACCAGCTCCGTGCTCGGCTTCCTTTCGTTAAAAGAGCCCTCGCAGGCCGCCCTCGACCACATTGTCCAACAGCAGCGCAAGCAGAACAGTGGTTCATCGACTCCGCCCTCTGCTGCCTATCACGCCAGCCAGAAGCTTCCTCCTCATGTGCCCAAGGTCAACTCCAAATGGGACGGCGTCCCCGACTCAGTCAAGCAGAGACATTCGCCAACATCCAACCCGCCAATAAAGGACAACAGAATCAGCGTCTCATCCAAGAGCTCCTTTGGCTCCCATCTCAAAACCACTCAATGGAATGATTCAAACCTTTCGGTCATGACCGATGGCACACGTAACCCGCCAAACTCCATTGCTTCGGTCTCCGTCTCCAATCTGCCTCGTCACGAGACAGCCATGGGCCTTGGATCTTCGCCTTCCACTGCTACATTTCCCAACGCCGTTCCCTACTTCGCAGATGATCCACTCACGCCAACTTCGTTACACTCACCGCCTTTCAGCACACAAATGGCCGATCGATCCAATCTTCAGCCAACGACAAACAAGGCTTTAGATTCGCCTTCGGGTGGCCGTCCGAGCATGGACGGATCCATTCACTCGCGACCACACTCTCCTGCCTCTTCCACGACATCAGCAGATACCATCACAATGGATACGGCAGATACCATCTTCAGAAAAATGAATGACCGTCCAAGTCAAGGAAGCTTGGGTAGAGAAGCGCCTATCGCCGAACTACAGCATCGATCCAAATCAGACATGGTGCCGGAATCCCACGATTTTCTCTTTCAGCCACAGCCACAGCCACAGCCCGCCATCAACACGCGAAACATCGATCTTTCCGGGGCATACAGTCGTTCCTCGGACGAATTCATCCCTCCGTATTCCCCTGTGCGGCCTGTCCAGAATTTCAGTCGACCCACTGCCCCCATAGCCCCCACGGGCCCGCCACCGGTTCAGCGCAGTACCTTCATGGCACCTTACAGGAGAACACCTCAGGCGCCTGCACTACCCACCTTGTATGAATCTTCATTAGCCAGCACCGATGAATCTGAAGATGACGATGACAATGGTGATACTCGTTCGATTGCGCCCTCTACCATTGCTCCTTCCGAACTCTCCCTCCACTGGTACGAGTCTCCTCGTGAGCGCCTCGGACTAGGTAGACGTCTTCAAATCAACGACGTCTTGCCCTGGGACGAGCAGAGAGGCGGAAAAGGTAAGCCTAAGAAAAGTCGGCTGTTGGCGTTTGGAAGAAGCTCCTCCAAATGATAAGCTTTGCAGGCAAAGCATGCGCCCTAACGGATGTCCACGGGAAACATCCTGTGGTATCCGGCCCTCGCCCAATGATGTAACTCAGCCACTTGTCTCTTAGACCTTCTCTTTCCCGCACGTTTTCCTGCATTTCGCAGCACGGGCCATGTTTGTTCACTCCATCTACTTTCACGTACAATGGCTACAAAGAGGTCATTTGCTTTCCCATCACGATACCCATCTCACGAACAATTTCGTTTTACCTTTATGGCTTTTATTAGAACGTTCTACCTAGCTATCCCCTACGAATTTATTCCAGACTTTGTTTCTCGTATAGCGATAGAGTAAATCCACCAATTAATTTTAATTCTTGAACAACGCAATCTGTTTCTCAATCATCATTAGTGATGCAAAACAAATCCTATTGATATACTAGACAATACAGGAATAAGACCGTGCTTCAAGACCAAAATCTATCCGGATCAATTCAATAAGACAAAAGTTTTGCCAAAAAAAGATGTATTACAATCAGCTTGAACGACGAAGTCATGTTAAGTTTGTTCCAGTCTTCTAAACTACCCATTCCTCCATCACCTTTCTCCAGAGTGGCCTCTGCTATTACATCTCCCATCCCCTTTGACTCTACGCAAACGCAAAAATGCAACCAGCAACGTAGTAGCTACCTTGGCGGAATGAAGAAGGATAACTGGAGCATCCCCTGATAAACTTTATATTCAAAACAATCGGACCAATCAAGTGTGTGCATCTACACGAATTGATGCACAGAAACGAGTACAAAGCTGCCGCACTGTCAGAAGCGACATTGTCGTCGTTGGTACCGATATTGCAGGTTAAGACGGTTGTTCCGACTGTTAGCCTGGCTTCTAGTAGTAGCGCTAGTAGAGAAAGATCTCGTGCTCTCGTGCAGAGTCCCAGTGCGGCCGTTATCGTAGCGAAATTAGCAGTTGCAGAGAGTTGCACTTATACCGTCATGCTAGTTAATTACACCACGTGGGCCGGTATGATTTCTCACCATTGATGATGTTTTGTATGTGAGTTATCCGAACGATGGGGTTTTGGTAACCTTGGTTGATGGTGCAGTGGAACTAGTAAGGGCATGGAAGCAGCGCGATGGACTATTGTGTAGCGTCTACACTACCATTTAGATATAATATCCTGCCTTATTGTTCATTGCATTTGATTCAACCAGCAGACCTCTCTTCATTTCATATGCCTAGGCAAAATGATGCCATCGGAAACTGACAATCATACTGAGAGAGACCGTGCGATGGCGCTACATTGGTGTTTTACTATCAGACATCTGTAGATATATTACTGTCTCTTCACGAATGCGCTATCCACCAACCATCACACCCTAACATATCTGCTCATGTGCTCTTTGCACAATTTTCAACCTAACACCTTGTTGCTTCACCGCAGCATGGTTTATAGCGTAGAAATTTAGCTTAGGGGTAGGAAATTCGATGCTGTATAGATGTCGGGGCTAGCAAGTAAGCATGGCTAGATGTAGATGATTACTGACTAAATGGGATGGAGTGACTTCTGTAGTCAGTATTATCGTTCATTGCCTTTCAATCGCAACTATTTAGATGGTCCTTGCAGGGAAGGTATCCTATAACGCTATTCAGGAAACACTCAAATGGGTGTGGTGTTGGTTATTGCGTGGGCGCCTGTATATTGTTGCCCTTCCATCATGCTCTCCTCACATCACAATCCAAGTGCTTTTTAGACTAATTCCTCAATCAAGTCTTTTACTCCCTCTTATCCTTACCTTTTAAATGTAGGTATCGGTGCTTACTAAAATATCCTTCGTATCACCTTCGGCCCTTCTACTATAGCATGAACCGAAACTTGAGCAGATTTCATGTGCTTCTCAAGATACAAAATAGATTATCCTTTTAGACGAGTATAATATCCATCAAAGTCCATCTTCTACATGCTTTCTCGTAAATCAAGCATCTTATCCCTCGCCCAATGTGCATATTCAACAGATGTTTTCTATTTTGCTCTGCTTCAGCACGTCATTGGATGCACCACCTGTACCACCCGCCCCATCGGACGCTGATCTTATGTCTGTGGCGGCAATTCTTGGGGTGTTGAAAGCCGGCATCAAAAACCTCTACAACACTATCGACTTTGGCGGACTTATTGTAGTAGAGCTTTAGGCGCATCCGGACGCATCTACGGCTGGGGGCTATGCCGACTGTCCAGAGGATGTTAAGAAGGAGTTCCTCCACAAAATCCAAATTAGGCTACAAGACGCTTATAGAAGAAACTCTCGCGGGGGGGTATTCTATACGGCAGCTTAAGTCCGACAATCTTGTAGCAAGGGCTTACTTACTTAGGTCCGTGCGATTGTTGCAAACGCCTTGGCGAACGTGATGCTACTAATCGTCGCCAACTGCTCTAATGCAAGATCCGACCTCAAAATGAATGCACCAACTGCACTGAACTCTGCTTGACAAAATGGATAGAAGTTTTTTTGATATGTGAAAGGACAGCGTCGGGAATAGCGGTGAGTAATGGAGGGTGCTTACCGTAGCAGCTGGAGCTGTGATGGCTGGATGCCTTACATTTGCGACCTATACCTATCGGGAGTGTAGTAATTAATGCAAGAAGTGAAGCTTGATTGAAGTAACAAAATCTCGCTAAAGCATTCCAATTTTGCTTTACGGGGTGTAGTGGACAGTCAGAAATGATTGAAATGGGATACAAGCCAAACAGTAACAGTCACCTATTAACCATCTCCTTTATCTTATTGGCTTGATTGCAGAGAAGCGGCTTAATCATGTAAGATATGATGTAGCAACAAGTCAGGCTATATACCTTCTTCTATTGAGAGAGTGATGGTATATATATGAACTCAATGTATAATTGCATTCTAACGTACCCTGATGTAGAGCTGATTCAAGCGGCAACGCTAACCTTAAAGCCCTCAATCTCTGACTTGGCTGCAAGGCTTTCTAACTTCTCCTGATAAGCGACTGGGCCTGCGGCCCAGCCTGTAGTCCTGGCATTTCTCTTCAAGTCCTCCTGGCTTTGTGTTTTTTTTAGCTTTGAGAGCTTCAAAACCCCCAGTAAAGTAGGTGGGCGTGCAAGCCCCCAACGCACTGTACAAAGCAGCTCTCTTTGCCATCTCGTCACCCCACTTGTCTTCAGCCTCTGGAGTGGCTTCAATGATTACCTTTTTCCCTTCTTCCACCTGCATGTGTGCCTTCTTGAGTTCAGCCGCTACATATGTCGCCATCGAATCGTACATGGATGTCAAATTCCACGAAGTCCCATTACCGCGGGAAAAGAAGGAGAAAAGATTAGGAAATCCCGAAACGGCAATGCCAAACAGTGGCGCGTTACGTGTAGTCTCAGCCTTCTGGGACATGGTTTGCCCATTGCGTCCCTAAATAGCTCGATTGATGTTCCGAGATACATCTCCATTGAAGGTTACTGCAAATTCCGTTGCGAGGACTAGAGCGTCAATTTTGTACTCCTGGCCGTCGAACACAAGGCCATTCTCGGAGAATGCCTGCAAACCCTTTCCGTCAGTGTCGATCAAGGTGACGTTGGGTTGGTTGAATGTTTCCAGGTAATCGTCATGAAAAGTAGGGCGCTTGCACCAGCTGCCGTACCATGGCTTCAGCTTCTCCGCAGTGTCTTTATCCTTGACTACGTCGTCGATACGCTTGCGCAAGGCCTCCGTACGTGGCCGGTCAATCCGATGGAGTTCTCGTATGTATTCTTCCGTCTCGTATGGCCCAACTATTCTTCTGGTTGAGCCCAAAAAACCTTCGCCAGCTGGAGTATGGGTCCATCCATCATTCACAAGATTTGGTCCGTAACCTTCAGGGTTGTTAGAGACCCATGCATTGTAATTGAGTCGCCGGGCTCTTTGCCATCCTTTCTCCTTCGACAAGTCTTTGAAGTGCTCCTCATCAGTCAAGCGGTTACCGCGCCACCCTGAGTATGCCGGTATCCTCTGTACAACGTACAAGTGTTTGGCCCATTTGGCCAATTCGGGTATGATCTGCACCGAAGTTGCGCCTGTACCGATTATTGCAACTGTCTTGTCTTTGAGGTTGACCAAGTCGGGCTGCTCCTGGTTGCCACCCGTATAAGTATAGTCCCAGCGAGCTGAGTGAAAAACAGTTTTCTTGGCTCTGAAATCTTCCCAGCCTGGGGGCTTTGAGACCTTCGGAATGTTCAGGACGCCACCGCCGACAATGACAAAATCCGCAAAAACAGTCAATTGTTCAGTCTTCGCATTTGCATCCACGGTTCGGGTCAACTGTACGACCCAAACCTTTTTGTCGTCGTCCCAAATCTGCGACTCGATTCTTGTGCAAAATTGGCCCTGGATGCCGAAGTGCTGAGCAGCTCGCTCGTTTTGACCGCGAATCTCGGCACCATAAGAATATGTGTATTTCGGCATATATCCAGTCTCCTCTAGAAGCGGAAGATAGATGTAACTTTCGACATCGCACATGAGCCCAGGATACCGATTCCAGTACCTATTGCGCTGGTTAACTACTATCTCAATTCTAATGGAAAGGGGGTGAATAGTACCAGGTGCCGCCAAATCCACCCGCTATGTCGACACATACAATGTCCTTTGCGCTGAACCCAGCCTCGACCAAACGGCAAGCGTAGAGCAGGCCATAGTGCCCAGCCCCGTTGATCAGAAACTTTACGCTGCCCCCATCTTTGAGAGGAGGGTTCTGGATCTTTGGATCGTTCCAATTAACCCATGGGTCTTTGGCGAGATCTTGGACTTCTTTTGATCGAGTCTCAATTTAGTCGATGATAGCTGCATCCGCAACGCGTTTTTCGCGCTCTTTTTAATATCTGAGGAACAGCTCTTGCTCATCAGGCTGAACGTGAGACATCGTAGATGGTTAAGCTAACGGGAAATTGTTAGGTCAGGAACGGGATAGAATTGAAGTATTCTCTGAGGTTTGGGTTTGAACATTTCGAGAGAGCTGGCTTGCGTTGACTTGATTTATAGTAAATCTGGATTGTAGTACGTAGCGACGTAAACTATACCCCCCTGCACTGACTGCTTCATTCCTACTAGTGGTCCTGTCATACTCATTCACCGTATGCTACAACTCAATACGGGATCTGCGCCACCTAATGTTGTGCTTCATAGCAGAACTGATGTACGTGGATCCGCTAACAAGGGGGCAATACAGGCCAGGGTAGAGAGTAACAGCTATACTCTAAAGAGTAAGATCTATACTCTATCGAGTTAAAGTTATCAAGAACAGCGTCAGACTTTTCTGAAATAAGTTATCCGAAGAAGAGTTAGACTATTATTTTAGCGTCTCTACGGTATGAAACTTATGGCGTGTAGCCGAGTGAAAAGATCAGTACACGTACTCGCCCAAGGAGTAGTTGGATCCCTCATCTAAACTGTGGGCGAGCCGGTCAGCATCCGGAGACCGAAGTCCAATAAGGTTGGATGATGGTAAGTGAAAAGCATCCGAGAGCCGAAACTCCACAGATACTGGTGTAGACCTAGTGTCTAAGACTTTCGCAACGCGTACATCGTTCGAAGGAAGGTTGCTTCTAATCTAAAAAGTCAAGGGTATGATCCGCCTTTTGAGAAGTGCATTACAACAACGTACAAGAGGTTCCCCGCAATGCATGTGCACAGAGAACTAGAATAGACAGCATCCGAAAAATGCCTTCACTATCCGCACGGAACACGGATCCGGACAACTTCCGACGACGGCAAGGACGATCATCTCTTGCGGTAGTTATTAATGTGGAGCAGTGTAACTAATACAACCCTGCTTTTGATATACTGTCGCTTCTTAGCATGGATCTCTCTTGGCGAGGAGAACACGTAGGTATACACCCCAAGGTGGTGTACAGTCATACATTCATGATCGGATCGCATTGTCAGCTATTCTTAAGTATTTCGTATAAGTAGAAAGTGGTTAACAGAAATTCCGGTCATTCATCTACAGTATTTTCAATACAACTCCAACATCTAGTCTGCATACGTGTTTCAACTCGCCGCCCAGCCTGATAGAGCGAGAAGAAAAAAAGAAAAAAGGAAATGAGGGCTGCTAGATACTACGGCGTGAAAGATGTGCGTATTGAGGAGATCAGTATTCCAAACCGTCCAGCAGATCATGTACTCTTGCGGGTTGCGTGGTGCGGTATATGCGGCACCGATCTGACGAATTATCACACTTGTAAGACAATTTCTTACTGCATTATACGATTCTAACAGATTAGATCCATGGGGTACACCAGCTCCTGGGGAACAGGATCGTGTGACTGGGGATACCCTTCCTGTGACCTTGGGCCATGAGTTCTGCGGTCGTATTGTTGAGGTCCCTGAAAACTGACCCTTGGAAGTTGGGCAGGCTGTCATGGTTGATCCCCGCCTCTATTGCTCAGAATGTTCCATGTGCAAACAGGGAGACACGAATCTTTGCAACAAGATGGGATTCGTCGGCTTAAACGGAGGTGGTGGGGGTGGTTTCTCGGAATTGGTCGCTGTCGACCCTAAGCGATGCTACCGCATTGCCGACTCGAGCCTGGACACAGCGTGTCTCATCGAGCCTCTTGCAGTTGCAAGACATGCCTTGAGAGTATCCGGGTTTTCTCAATTTGCAGACAAGTCTTCACTCATCCTTGGCGCTGGACCAATAGGACTTGCAGTCGTTCACAATCTTAAAGCAGTCGAAACGGGTCCGATCTTTGTATCAGAACCCTCTTCGTCGACGCTGGAATCAACCCTCAAGAAGTAAATCTTGTTGATACCATTGAGCAGCTCACCAATGGTAAGGGCGTTGATGTTGTGTTTGACTGTGCAGGTTTCATCCCTGCTATCGCACCGGCAATGTCATCTTTGCGCAAGAAAGACAGATACGTCCTTGTGGCAGATTCAGGAAAACCGGTAGGTTGAAATATTTTCTGCAATCTACTTCCCTGTTAATCAAATGCAACACCAGACGATATTACCACAAAAGGAGTGGTATAATCGAGAAATAACAGTTGTCGCGTCGGTCACTTACAACGATGTCGATTTTCAAGAGGTTGTCAATGATTTCGACCAAGGTACATGACTTCATTCTCTAGTGTGACAAGAATAGCGGCTTACAAAACCTAGGCGAGTTCAATGGTGTTGAGGGAATGGTCAGCAGTCGTATTCAATTGGACCAGTTCGTTAGTCAAGGGCTGGAAGCGCTGGTCACATCGAAAGACACTTTGTTGAAAGTTCTTGTAGAACCTAAATGATTTGGTTTCAGAACGATTGCTCATGCTAGAAAGCAATTGGATAAGTCTTTGTAGCGTCTAGAGTTGCATCAATAAAATGACAGTATATATGAGGATTAGGGACGACCTCGAGTAAACAGATCGTGTGTTGTCTAAAGTGGACGCGCAAGAATTTATGAAAGTGAATACGTTTCATCTTCCTAGACTACCAAGGTTCATTTATGTTTTGCGTATAGAATCAACCAAAGATTCTCCAATCAGGATTCAACATCCCCGCTCTTGATATGAGAGTTGCTGATTAGTTTTCGAATGGCCCTAAGTCTATGCTCCATAGCCATTTTAGACGTAGGATGGCCAGGCATAAGCGTATCAAAAGCGTGTGGTAAACCTGGGTAGACATGCAATTCCGTTTCTATACCAGCATGCACAAACCTTGAGGCATATTCCAGATCCTCGAGCATATACAAATCAAGCTGTCCGACATCCAGGTAAAGTGGAGGTAAACCCTCAACACTTTCCGCACGAGCGGGTGCTGCAAACATTGGCACTCCAGGTCGCCCAGGTTCATGCCTCAGATATGCTGTCCAGCCCGTGACGTTGTCGACTTCATCCCAAAAACACACGGGTCCGATTGCCTTGGATGAATTTCGGTCATCCAGCATAGGGTTGATTAAGATTTGCTTCGCTAGTGGTGGAGCCAACCCTCGATCTCGCGCCAACAGCGTCACTGCGGCTGCAAGATTCCCACCAGCACTTTCACCCATAGCGGCAATAGAGGCACTATCGAGGCAAAAGTCGGCTGCCTTTGCCAAAACCCATTTCAAGCCGGACCAGCAATCCTCGAGAGGCGTCGGATATGGGTGTTCCGGCGCAAGCCGGTAATCAACGGAAAACACCTGTACCCCAGTGGCACGGACGAACTCAGAGATCATGGGGATAGTATTAGCCGCATTCAGTGTGATAAGGCCACCTCCATGGAAGTGAACGATTGCAGGCGCAGGAGATGCTTGATCGATAGTGACGTCTTTCTTGTAGTGGTATACAGAAAGCTGATAACCATCCGACGCTGAAATGGTGTGTTTTTCCAACCTCAACCCTTCCGCGCCCTCTTCAAATGCCGCCGCATTGCCAAAAGCGAAAATTTTCCTACGACCTTCTATGTCGTGTAATCCTGGCTTTTGAAGCCCCGTCATGGCGCTCAGTACTGGAGCCATGGCGGCAACAAAGTTGTTATCCATTTTCAGTCCCATGTTCGATTTGATTTTGGTATTCGATCTAAAGAAATCTGTCAAGAGGGGTTGATAACCAGAATGAAGATGTGTATTTCGAGACTCTATTTGACAAAGGCACTTGTGTTTGATCAGAGAAGCAGAGCACGAGGGAATATTCACGCTTGTTTTTCTCATGTGCAGCCTTCTTATGTAGATAAGTGCTAAGCAGACGGAAATTTCGGTCAGCCAATCCTTGTGCTTGCCTGTCAACCTTAAGTAACCCCTTACAAAAATCTTACAACTCGAGTCATTCTGAACTTAATTATTACCAGGTGCCGGAATATAGATTGGCATATCTGGGAGGGAAGCAGAATTACTACGGTTTGGCATGCACAATGGAACTCTGAGTTACTTGGAAACTATTTTAGAAACATTGATTCAGGGTATGAGCGAAATTAAGAAAGAAGCGCTGATCTCTTTTTCTAAGCTGACTGCAGAATATTCGTGATACTCTTGGTCGTGACCCCAGCATGATTCGTCGTATGTGCCAACCCGCTGAAGATCGGATGAGAAAGGCATGGTGAAGGAGATGAGGGGTTCAATGCGTAAGGAGCTAAGGGGCGGAGAATCCGTAGCGCTTGTCACTGATACATGTTGAATTGCGGGGAAAGTACCGTTCGGTGAGCGGATAGTGTACAATCCGTACTGAAACGTAAAGACGGAAGCATGCAGGGAAAAGGCCCGACAAGTATAATACGGTGAACACGGCATATACGGTATATACGCGCACTACAGGGATTACGAAATTTACAATCCGGCTCGAGAGGCATCCACATACCGAAGTAGTGCACGGGTCACTATGCCATTGCGCTTTGTATAGGATACGCTACTAAACTCCTGAGTATATGTAATGAAGCCACTGTAATGTATTGAATAGCTGCACATTTTTTCATACCCTCAACCTCACTTTGAAAACTACCATTTCAGAAGAATATCTGATTTGCGTTTCAACGCCATGAGTACTGAAATCAGAGCCGACATAATCATAGTCGGGGCCGGATTCAGTGGGTGTTATGCCCTCCACAAGCTGCGACAGATGGGATACACGGTGAAGATTCTCGAGGCTTCTACAGGCTTTGGCGGGGTCTGGAGAATCAATCGCTACCCAGGAGCGAGAGTTGACACCGAAACACCAACGTATCAATTGTGTCTGCCAGAAGTCTGGCAAGGCTTCAACTTCTCAGAGCGATATCCCGACCATGTTGAGCTGCGAAGATACTTTGACCACATGGACAAGGTGCTTGATCTTCAGAAAGACACCTATTTCAACGCTAGAGTTGAGGAAGTTAGATACGACCCAGAGAATAATACGTGGACCTTCAGGGCCAAAGGATTGAATGCCATATCCACTTACGCAGTCTTTGCAGTGGGAGCGTCTTGTGACTCATACATTCCGGACTGGCCGGGAAAGTCCAGTTTCAAAGGTCAGTTGATCCATCCGGCCTCCTGGCCCGAAGACTTTGACCCGCAAGGCAAGAAGATTGGTGTTATTGGACAAGGAGCATCTGGACTGCAAATTGTACAGGAATTGGCCAAGGAGAGCTGTGAACTTTCAGTCTTCATCCGTATCCCTTGCACAGGGTTCCCTATGAACCAGAAGGCTATATCCATCGATGAGTCGAATAATCTGAAAAGCTACTATGATGCGATTCTTGGGTGTGCAAAACACAATACAGAGACGAGATACCCTTACAATCGGAATCAATGCAATTGGGCAGACGCGACTGAGGAAGAGCGACAACGCCTTTACGAATGGCTCTGGCAGCGAGGCGGATTTGTCTTCATGACTAATAATTACCGCGATTTTATGACGAACAAGGCCGCAAATGCCAGTGCATACGATTTTTGGGCGGAAAAGGTAAGGCAAAGAATCCAGGATCCTGTCAAAAGAGAGATCCTGGCCCCGAAAAAACAGCAATACTGGCTCGCTGCAAAGCGACCCAGTTTGGAACAAGATGACTAAGAATCTGTGGACCGAGCCAATGTCACCTTGGTTGATCTTAAGGAGATGCCTATCCAAGAGTTCACCGCCGATGGCGTTGTTACGGGAAACAAAGATACTAGTAAGCTCTGGGAATTAGATGTGATAGTTGTAGCAACGGGTTACGACAATCTTACGGGTAGCCTTTTCAAGATGAACATCCATAGCAAAGACGGCGTTAAACTTCAAGACAAATGGGAGAATGGAATCAGCACGTATCTAGGCATGACGGTGCCCGGGTTCCCAAATGCATTCTTCCTGTATGCACCACAGGCACCGAGTTCGATTGTTAATGGACCGCCCTTTATCGAATTACAAGTGGACTGGCTGACACGACTCCTTGAAAAGCTTCGCAATGAAAACATCAAGTCGATTGAAGCGTCTGAGAAAGCTGCAGAGGTTTGGAAGAAGCTTGTCTGGAGCACGTTCCGAATGACACTGTCCGCCGAGACTGATTCATGGTGGGTGGGGGCGAACATTCCGGGCAAGAAGCGTAAGCTATTAGTTTGGTTCGGAGGTATTCAGTCGTGGTGGAATAAATGCCAAAACGCGCTACAAGGATGGGAGAATTCAGGATTTGTACTTGGGATGTCAAGTAATAGCAACGGCCCCCCACCGCTGGAAAAACCAAAAGGTCAAGTGCTTGGAAAACGCAAAGAAACGCAATAAGAACTAGCTTATACTTTGTAATGAAATATTCACTCTTCATATATCTCCATAGACGCGGTTCATTACGAGGTCGCATATCAAGGGTTAGTATAGGTTGAGTCTCGATTTGAAAAAGTCTCACACGTGAACATGTAGATCCGTCATTGATGGAAATATGCATACATGAATAAGATATATACTCATTGAGGCAATGAAGACGCAAATCTAAAAACATTGACGCTATTCCACCCTGTTTTCATTCTTGCAGCTGATCACAATTGCCAGTGCTTGCTTATGGTCTTGTTATTTCGGAAAAATATAGGATGCTGGAAGAAGGGCCCATATATAGGAATACTCATGTTCAGACACTGGAATGGAGTACAGATCTTAGATTGCTCACACGAAGTCTAGGTGGAGTCGATCCTACAAGCCAAAACCGCTGATTTGCCATACCCCACGTAAACAACAATGGCACAATACCATGACCATATATGCTATGACCATAGAGAGAAGCATAATAATCTTGCGGCAGATTGGTAATGCGTTGTCTAAGAACAAGCGAAACGTTTACCAAGTTGTTGAGTCCAACGTCGTGGACCAATTGTTCATACCAAGAGCGAGTAGTGTGAAGAAACCGAAGAACTGCGCCAATTACCAGGAGGGCAATGATGAAATATATCGCAGCCACGAACGCTCCTGAAAACAAACAAAAAAAGCTCGCGTTCCTTAGTTGCAATTTATGAAATTTGCGACAACAGATGTCGTGGTCGAGGCGCCCCAGCTCTTTTGCTGCCCTTCTATGTCAATTATCAACACATGAATAGCCCCGCAAAGCATTCCAGATATCATAGAGATAACCTTCTGTCCTAGTAATCTTTCACGTGGTCTCTTCATCCAATTGAGTGACTTTGCGGGTATACATGAGATATCGGACTAAAATAATTGTTGCTCGGTTTAAGGCTATTGAAGAATAGGTCGAATACGGCCCCGGTCAAGATTTACGTTCACGTTTCTAGTGTGTGAGTCTCTTAAGAAGCTCTCAATTTGATTTCGCAGGTTCTTGATGTACCTTGCAATTTTGGAGGGCTTACAAGAATAGGCGCTAGTCAATGCTATTAGGTTTACTAAGCTCACCAGGCCTAATATGAGATGAGACAATGTAGCTGCTTTGATTATTCGCTGTGATCGTATCAATAAGTGTTTCAATAAAATTATCGTTGGATAGAGAAAAGAAGGAGAATCTTGCCCTTTTCTAATGATTTCTTGGATATTATCGAGGCGGGTGGGGCAGGGTTGGCACTAGCGGACCTTCTAGACTTCGGATGGTCGGCGAGTCCTGCTATCGTCCAAATCTCTAGTAAAATATTTTCGATTCTTGCAGTGCTTGTGAAGAAACGCTATGATGCGCCCGAAATTGCGTTTGTCGCAGAGCGACAAATACTAAAGATTAACAACCCGCAACTTGGACGGATTGTTAGAACCCTGGAAGAACATGGAATGCCCGCAGTCGTGTAAGACCCTTAGCCCTGCGCTTACATGTTTTGTTGATTTGTGGCATCTAAGATCTTAGATGATGGAATGTCTCTTCCTCGGTCCATTGTTGATTTTGAGGATATTGCAAAGGACTCTTACTGGAAGAAAGTTAATCGGAACAGGGTAGTAGGTTGCACTAGAGTAGTTTTGAAGAAGTCATAGTTCTCCTTTCTGCTTTGCGTTGCCAGGAAGGCAACGTTGCTGGTAGGATATGATGAGTGTTCTCGTGTTCTGATATGCTCTTCAATTAGTCCTATATATGGAGATTGTACTTAGCTTCGGAGGCTTAGGTGGATGTGTGCTTGGTGCAGCACTCAAGATATATTGGGTTTGTAAGCGCAAGGCAAATTACAACACCTTGTAAGGACATTTAGGAGATGTCTATTTCCCATTCTTAAGCATTATATGCGGAGTGTGATAGAAGAACTGTGGCACGTTAATTGTTGCGCCCCAATATATCGAAAAACGGCGTCTTAACCTATATTTATCCGTAGCGGGCAATAAATTACCGTTACGGAAACAATTAAATGAATGTTAAAATAAAATATGAAAGTAAGGACACAAAGAACAATATGCCTGTCTACTAAGTAAGCGTCCATCTTACGGTCAGTCCGCACCAGCGTAGGAATTTATGTTTTGGCATCCTCGGAGTTATCAACGTCATCCCTCCTTCGAAGACTGGGCCTCATATTAAATGAATCTCCTGTCTTTTTGATACTCGTCCTTTTCAACTCCTTCCATCCTAGCAACCCTATTGTAAGCACTGCAACAACACCCACAACAGCACCCAGCCACTTGTTGTGGTCGCCATCACCACTGAGATCGTTTCCGAGGAACCCATTCACGAAACCTATGATCAAAATGATCGGGCCAACAATACGATGGACCTTTGCGAAGACAGTGGACCGCCGGTGTCGCTTGTACTGTAAGTGATGCCATATGCCAAGAGCCCACTGAACAAAGACGACACCGAAGACGATAAGACCAAGGATCTGGTGAGCATTTGAGTACGATGATTTCTAACCAATCAGTACACATGTCCTCAGAGATTGTAAATGGAGACTAAATTCAAAGCAACTTACATCATCATTCTTCTCGCTAAGAGCGATGCCAAGGCATCCTCCCACTATTGTAAGCACCAAACCTGCGCTCTGCACAATCCAATGCACCCTAACTCCATTCCTGGCCCAACGTAGCAGGACGGCACCAAGGGGGAATATAATGACGAATGCAAGAAGCATGAATGTTGCGTGCACAGCGCTCATGGCGTCACTACCGCTATCTGTACCTGTATTCTGGGCAGCCAGCAGTGCTGCGCCGCTCGGTACGCCCACTTGGCTGCCGCTGGGACTTGTCAACGATGCAGACGTGGCGTTGACTATGTCGACCCAGAAATTGCCGGTTGAGCTGTGCTGATGGAGATTTGTCGAGGGGGAGTTGCTCAAGAGCGGGTTGGAAGAGGACGCCAAGGGACCCAGGGCGTAGATGAAGTTCTGTTGCTGGTTGGTGAAGGAGAGGGTGCCTTCGTGTTGGCCGAGGGATTGAAGATTAGTACAATGGATGTTTGTGGAGAAGAATTCGGATGAGGAAGATGAAGATGAAGAAGACGAGCCGCGGTCTTTCATAGTACTGGATTGGACATCCTTGTCTACTGCTCCAGATAGCAGCTTGCAGTCGATTTGAGAACTGTAGTGAGGCTGACTCTCGCCAGTGGCCAGGCGTGTTGAAAGTGTTATCCCTTCCTTGTTTGAGCATGTGTCTGGGAAGGTGGATTAAGGTGTAACAAGGAAACTTACCGTTTACAGATTCATTCTTGTACACGATCAGCATTACGCTGCCAGCCATCTTGGAGCCTGTGCCAACACTGATCCATTGGTATGCCGTGGGTCCAGAGAGGTAAATGTAGGTATCGCCAGTACTGTTCACAGCGTTCAGAGCAAATGTGAAGTTACCATGCGAAGTGGACTGGATGAAGGTTGCGTACGCAAGCTGGTCCTGTGGAGTGGATGCATCTGAGGTTACAGCAAGGCTGAAAAGGGCTGTTGGAGCAATCATGTATCAGTGCTTGTTCTTGCTTGATCGTCATTCAACTGTATGTTTGTTTGGCTTACCCAGAAGACAGGCGAAGAATAAGTTGGTTTCGTGGCAACTCATCTTGGCCAGCATTAAACACTGAGGTAATAGAAACGGTGACGATATCACGCTGCCTTCCTTATCATCGCAGTATTGAAGGTTTATGTTCAGGCCCCATCACTGACCACATATGAGCCCGGCCAATCACTGCTTACCTGTTACTAATGTACACGTCGTGCATCAGAAGCCTTCTCGGCGACCAGCTTAGCTCTCACAACACAGGCGGAAAGACGCGTGGCCTGACCATGATGCCGTGGATCGTGGCTGAGTGCACAAGCAGGAGGGGCTGACGTAGCGGCAGAAATGGCGTACTAGAAAACATCATGGCTGGAAGACTACTAGCACAGATCAGCCATTAATGAAACGAGGAGGCAGCCCGCGGAACGCCACACCCGATCACACAAGAACAATAATGAAATGAACAATCTAAAGCTTAAGCGAGGTTGCAAGAATCTTAAGTTATGTATGGTTAAGCTTAAGCGAGATAAGTAAAAGCTTAAGTGGCATAGGTCAAAGCTTCAAACCTGGTTTGGCTGCGCGGTGGCGTTTTCTATTCAACGCATACTAAGCGTAACTTAGACCACGTTTTTAAAAAACTTCAATAGAGGACTTTATATTAGTAAAGAAAGACCTATTACGTGTGAAATGAGTTTATGTTTGATAAGTAAAGCGATAATAAAAGAAACTATATTTAGTATCACATAGGGTAAGAGTCTAGACCTTGTTGAAGCTTGATTATTACACGGGGTCTAGAGTACTAAGACATCTCTACGTTAATCTAGGTAAGCGTAAGTAGAATTAGAGTTAGCACTATAAAGGTTATCTAGTAGTTTATATAGAAAGAAGTTATTAATATAACTAAATTCAATAATACTTATCTAGACTAGTAAATAGGTAGTGTAACGGCTGAGTGCTCTACACGACCAATATCCGAACAGGATCCGAACTAGGTCTGATTAGGTCTAGCGGAAACTACGAGGATAAAACTACCTCGCGATTGATAGTTCATTCGGTAGTTTTTC